GCAGATCGACGTCTCTGACACTCTCTACCGCAGCTTTTTCTCGCTTCTTCATATCAGATATCCTGTTGACTGAGCACCGATTGCATGTTCTGAGTACCACCGGATGCTCTTTCAATCGTACATTGGAGTTTTATGAAAAAAGAGCAGTTATTTTAATGGCGAAATATCGGCAGTAGTTTATCAAGTGTTGCAGAATTTGTGTGCAGTGCAGCAAATTATAATTATATTATATCGTGTTATTAACATGGAAAGTACAGATAATCGTTCTACTAGAAAAAAATTTTTTCTTTTTCTGTGATTTTAACTGAATTTTATTTCGAAAAACCAAAAATTTCAAGCGTCATGTACTCTCATTAAAATAAAAAAAATTAAAAATTTTCAATGAGCTATCCTTTTCTTTTTGTTACGAAGAAATTCCAAATATCTCATTCCGTTGGAAAAATATGTTCTGGGAAAACATTTAATGCTTCTGGGACACGTTGTATATAATGAGGAATGGAGTTGATATAATTCTGCCTTTTCCATCGTTGTTTCCATTTCTTTATTGTTATTATTACTTACTCTGTCGTCTATGTTCGCATTTTCAACAAAATGTATAATGCTTTTCAGCATATATTATTTTTTTTCATTACATTGTTTCTTGTGAATAAGAAGCAATCGGATGAATAGATAATAATGAGAAAGTGCTTTAATATATGTATGAAAATGAAAAGTACTCTCTTTCTCTCTCTCTCTCTCTCTCTCTCTCTCTCTCTCTCTCTCTCTCTCTCTTTCTCTCTTCTCTTCTCTTCTCTTTCTTTCTCTTTATGTATCTTATTATATTGCTTTTTCGTTAATCTCTTTATATATAATACATAATGAAGATTATCATTTGATCAATTATAAGATAATTAATGACATGTTTATGCAAAGATGAATTGTCTCTGAAATCTTAAAGTGCGATTATAATCAAATCACATCTTGAATTATCTAATATATGATAGATCTAATCGAAATAAAGTAAATTAATAAAATGTTTGATAAATATAATAACAATAATCGTCGAACGATTAAAAAACAATAATATATACTTACTTTGTTAAAAATTATTAGTATTAATACAACTGGTGAATTCGACTGCTGAGGGATGCAGTCATTTGTCCTTCCTTCATATAACTGTTAAAAATGATTAATCCACTGAAGAAGGCTTGGTAATAAAAGCGGTACATACCTCGTAAGGGGATGAAAGTTAACAGCAACAACAACACGATCCATTAGGTTCAGCGCGTAAAGCCTCTCGTACATTCAGCCGTTTTCTACTTGAGCGGATACACCTGTCGGACGACGTGCCACCCGTGCACACCGATGCAGAACCCCATTGTGTGTGAAGTGGAGCATTTGCTGGAAGAATAACAGAGCAATCATTTTGATATACGCATCGTGTCTTTGTTTGCGTTAATTGCGATACTTTAATAATTATACATATATCCTTTATGGATCTATGTTAATTATTCCGGTTTTAATATGTTGAGTATCATGAGGTCATCAGTAATACTAACATTTTTTTGTAATACTAACATTTTATGTTGACGTACATATAAAATGTAATTAATATACACATACTTAAACTTAAATTTAAAAATATCTCACATTATGCCACTAATTGACCAAATGAAATTCGACTTGCAATTAGCACAATAATTTTGTCATATTTCTTATGATTATTTGACTTAGAGCTAAACCGACAATAAAAATTTTCAGATCCCATTTTATTATCTTCGTTGTTTGAGATTAAAATAAAGAACAGTAGAAACTTATTCTTCTTCCAAGACAATATTTTTTTTTTATTCTGAAATATCTGCTGCTCTGGTCTACTTCTTAGTCTAGGTACCTTGTCTCAGTCAACTTCTGAGAAACGTAAATCTTCGGTCCTAATAAAGAATACCCATCATCGTGTGGAATGCACAAATGTCTATCATCAATCTCCTCTTTGCATTAGCTGGCGACGATGTTCGTCAAAATGCGAGAGTTGCACACTAGAAAGAGAGATAGATAAACAAAGAGAGAGAGAGAGAGAGAGAGAGAGAGAGAGAGAGAGCTTGGTGGAGGCCAACCGAGTTTATTGATCGACATTCTGAGCACGTTTGTGGGAGCAGATAACGCAGAAGGTTCCTCGCGATCCGCCTGTCAAAATCATCAACGTGGTGCTTTTTAATGCGAGGGTTCCTCCAGCTTCCTTTTCCATCCGTAATTACCCTCGTTCTTCGTCGGAGATGAGACGTTACAGATGCTCGCGGGCGTCTATGTAAGCACACGGGGTGGTTAAGAGCCGTTCATACAAACGCTCGTCGATATCGGCGCTTGGCACGCGAGATCGTGTCAGCGTGATAGATCGCTATTATGATACACCGTCGCTTCGCAGGCTTTTGCAATCGTACGGCAATCTATCACGTATCTGGCATGAACTGCGTAGATTGTACGATTCTGTGTTTAATTCGGGTCAAAAAGAGAATGCTTTTGAAATAGTGATCTGTGCAACATAAAAGTTGTAAAAACGTTTATAGCTGACGTTCGAAAACTAAAGATCCTCATACTTTATTTTAACATACTGAATTGTGGATGTTTTAATAAACTCTTTCAGACGTCTGCGTTACCAAGAGAAACATTTTATTTAGCCTAAAAATGTTATGTTCTATGAAACAAGTTCGATATTTCAATCGTATGATGTGTATAAATAAAGATTATCATGATTAAAGTTTTATTAGAAAATTCATTTTAATCAATTAATAAATTACATGAGATTTTTATATTTTATTTATTAAGAGCTTTGCGAATAATATATCGCTCTCTATACCTATAATGAAATTTCTATTGAGATCAAATGGAAATGTTTTAAAGAGTTTAATGGTGGATTGATTTGTGGGTAGACGAATAGCCGTAGTCGAATGTCAATTTTGCCTCTTTCATTAGACTAATTACTCTCTGGTCTCTGACTGAAGGCTATAATATCCCTCTATATCCCTATAAATATATCTCGAAAAATTGTTCCATCTAGCATCAAGATGTACGAAACGTTTCCATTCGCGTGATAAGCGATGATCAATTTATTTTTAGTCTGTAACCAATTTCCTACGCGCTCGGTCGAACCATTTATCGTCCGGATATCGTAAAAAGTAACGAAGGTCATTTATGAAGATAGACGGGTTCAAGTTCAGATGTCACACCATGGCCCATTTATTCTCGGTGACTACAGACATATCGATCGATTCGATGTAATTTGGAGACACAGATCGTCTTTGTGATGGCTTATAATTAATTGAGTGCAACAAGTAGCGATGAAAAGAATTTTAGTCAGGATAAGAAATTGCGGTAATCTTTATCTTAACAGCGTTTCTTACTTTTAACCTTTTGAGAAGGGCGTCGGCCTCGCGTGTAACTCGATGTCAGTAGCCGACTAACACATGAATAGCTGCTTGCACGCGATGAGCATCGTGTAAGCGTCGTCTAGCGAACTTAAGAGTGGAATACGAATCGCAGCTGCTAGAAATCAATTCCTCTTATCCCCGGTTTCGATTCCTTATTCCCTCACGTCACGCACTCAATTTATCTCCGCATTAAAAGGATATCGTGATAGAATGTTATGTTCGTGAAAACATATCATGCCGTAAGATATATCACAGAAGTGGAAGGAATAATTAAAAATATCTTCTCTGGATATAAATAGAACAATGATATATCTTTAGATAAAATATATTTATCTTCAACAAAATTCAGAACTTCAAAAAAAAAATTAATTGATATTGTTAAAAAACTTATACACTGTATACTTATATACTTTAAACACTTTTACATGAAATTTATATTACTATGTATTATATGTAAAATTTATATATTATATATAAATTTATATATTATATGTAAAATTTATATTTACCGTGCAATATTAACAGTTAGTATTCAGAGGGTTTTAAATGATATTTGTATGTTAATTAATAATTGCATTCGAGATACTGAGATATCACAACCCTATTAAAAGCCGTAACTACCGAAAACTGATAGCTGCTAATTATACGATCGGAAACTTGTAGCATCGTTTGCACATACAAGTTCTTAATTATCGATTTCGATTTGATTTTATATCAAATTTCATTATGTTAGCACTGGTGTGTCGCGATAATAAAAAAAATTGTTTGAATAAATAGTGGTATAATGTAGTAATGATTGAATAGTAATACTTTATTCCGTGACGTAATTTATTTTTATTTATACTTTATTCAGTGTTTCGAATAATAATGTTTTATTCAGTGTTACACGTTTGCGGTATTTTTTTCTACGTGCAGAGACACGCGATTAGATGTAATCGCATAACCTGTCTACTTATTAAGTAGACACATTGAGAAGGGCGCTATGAAAAAACATGATATTTCGACGATAATCACTTGGCAATGAATGCGCCTATTATGGCAATTTGATTTTCATCGATCGAAATTAGACAAAAATTATATAAATTGATTACGAATGTAATAGAATATTGTATGCTCAATTATTGATAACGATTGTAATCTTAACAATCATGATGTAAGTTGTTCAACAAGTACGAAAAATTTTATAATTTTTTTTTATTAACGTCATTTTTATTTTTAATGCATATGTAGTAATAAGATTAACTATATCGCAATAATATTTCAACACTTTATAATTTTCATACAAATAATGAAATCACATTCAAATTATATTATAAAAAAATTGAGATTTATTTATTTAAAATAAAAATTAAAAATTCTTTAGATATAGTAAATTATTACGGTTTAGGGAGAATTGTTAATGCATTGAATGCGAGATGTTTCCAATATATTTCTTATACACTTTTAACGCAATCTGTGTTTCATATACTTAAAGATTCTCCTTCATGTTAGTTTAATGTAGCAGTAACATGTTGTTTTCGCTTGCGATCTGTAACCTTTAATCAGGAGAGAGATTGAAAAATACCCAGCTATATCTATTCCTTAACAAAGACTCACGTGGTTCGAAAGGGTAAGCATGATGGTGATCCTTCTGAACTGCATCACGCTTGGGATGTACCAGCCATGCGTGGACGACCAGTGCGTAACGAATCGATGTAAAATATTGCAGGTATGTAATCATATTTTAACAACATTTGACTGAAAAAAAATTGAAAAAGAACCAGAATAATCAGTGTTATGATATCGAATTTGAGAAAGCGAAATGTAGTGTATTGATTTTATTTAAGCAATAGTCATTTCTATATGAATGTTCTCTTCGCGATCTTTTATATTAAAGTATCTTATTTATATGTTCACGTGCCAGAGAGAAAGTCCAATAATGATAATACATATTTACAATTCAATTTAAGTCAATTTACGGGAACTTTCGCGTTAAGTGATTATCTGACGCGCTGATAAGCAAATTAATCGATTGCGCATCTTGACACGGTTTCCGGTCGGTTCGCAATTAGTCCAGCAAAGGTAGCGGAAGAGGAGATGGAGGAAGAGGAGAAGGATGGGATGAGAAAGAGATGAGAAAATTACCGACATGGTATAGCCGTTAATCGAATCCCCTAGTAGAGTGTCTTGAAACAATCACGGTGTATTACGTCGATCGTACCCAGTTCTAATCAAGTTGTATTCTCCTATCTATTTCTTCCAGATGTTCGATGATATCATTTTTGCCTTCTTCTCCTTGGAGATGACTATAAAGATGGTAGCGATGGGGATTTGGGGTAAAGGAACTTATCTCGCGGATTCCTGGAATAGATTAGATTTCTTTATAGTGATGGCTGGGTAAGTATTTTATTTAGATACTTTATTGTTTCTTAATTTGAATTGCCTTGTTTAAAAGAATTTTCGTACAAAACCTTCGAGGATCTATGATATTGCATATGATATAGCAATATGGGAAATTAAAAGTTTTCAATATTAAATATTATATGAAAGTATTATAAAAAATGGTAATAATTTTATAATAATTATAATAATTAACTGACATTCTATGATTATAAAACTTTATGTACTTTGTATTTAAACCATTGTGTAAAATGTATTATTACAATTTTTAATTAAACTCATATTTAAATTTAAATTCAGGGCAGTTAGATATATTTTATGTGTAAATTATATTAAATGTATTATTTAATTATAAAACATTTTACTGTGATAAATTATAAAATTGATGTGTTAAAAAAAATTTAAGAAGCAATTTGATTGTAGCGCTTTGGAATACTGCCTAAACGTGGAAAATATGAATCTGTCAGCCATACGAACGATAAGAGTATTAAGGCCATTACGAGCGATCAATCGAATACCAAGTAAGTAACGGGATCTTTGTGATATGTCGGAAATCTTGATAGTTGACCCCAGTTTGTTTCTATCATCGATTTTACGGTGCATAACTACCGCGTATAGATCGTAACGCATTCACGGTTGATTTTATCTTGAAATTGAAACATAGTAAAGACAGAAGAGTATATATAATCATATTGAACAAGAACAAGTAAAGTTGGCAAGAAGAGGCATTTAGCTGCAAATCGAAATTCAGTAATCGACACGTGTACTGTACACGCGTACCGGAATTCGTGACCTTTTAACAGATCCTTGGATCAATAAATATGTTATATCTTGTTTTATTTTCATACTGTTAAAATGTTTTAATCGTAAACTGTTGAAAAAATTTTTGCGTAAGCTATTATTTTTGAATTGAATAACAAAATTTTATCATAATCATCTTCAATTTCCTTTCTCGGAGTTTAAACGCTAATGATATTTAACATTGGATCCTAATAAATTTCTACAAATAACAGTTCATTAAAAATCTTTTTCTCATAAATAGAATAGAATAATAATCAGTGTGTTTACTATTAAAACTAAAATCGAGAATTTAGGTCATTTCGCGCACAGTATACTTCCAAACTTGTATTGTATAGAAAGAAAACAATCGGAATAGCAGATCAGATTGTTCCAGTATCCGAGGAAGAATATCTGCAAGCAGAATCGCAACATCGCAATCGATGTTGTCATGGTTCAAAGACTTGAAAATGAAATATGATATCGATGTGATCGACGAGACGTTACACATTTATTAATCGCTTATCAAGCGTTATTTTTACGAACACCTCTGATAGGTATGCGGATACTAGTGATGCTGCTGCTCGACACCCTTCCCATGCTGGGCAACGTATTGTTATTGTGCTTCTTCGTCTTCTTCATATTCGGCATCGTGGGCGTGCAGCTGTGGGAAGGCATACTACGCCAACGCTGCTTCCTCAAGGCTCTGCCCAACGTCAAGTATCCCGAGTAAGTTCGATTCGGCGAATCTTAGGTCCTAACCGTTGATTACTTTTTTTTTTTTTAATTATAAATGTTGGACTTCGATTCTTCACGTTATTGCGCCTCACGCTGCATCGCATCTCGTTTTTTCTCTTCTGTCTGTCTTTCGATCGCTGTACAGTTTGAAACGCTCCGTCGCTAATCGTCACATTTCCGCGAGACGGCGAAACAGATGGAATTCACAGATCCAGCAATTCGTCGTTACATCAAAAATTTTTCGCGATACTGTGTACTTCAAACACGGTAAACGGTGCATATATCACATTCTGCGCAAAACGGTCTCTCGATTTTAACAATTTCCATTGAAAATTTATCGCAAAAATAGCTAAATGTGATCAGCATTTGCCATATTCAAAACACTTTCGCTTTTGTGTAATAATTCTATTTTGGGAATTTTTGCAATAACATACGTTGGAATACAGTAAACGTTATGGCCTTACGTGTCAAACGACCAGGAGGAATAACTTTTTATGTTATCATAATATTTCATGTATTTTAATATCTTTAGGCATATTTGCGTTTACCATATTCAAAGCATGCTATTGCATAAAAAAAAGTCTATTACTGCGTGCGCAATTTTTTGCTCGACAATTTTTTGCTTAGATAGAATATTTCTATTTGACACGCCTGCAATTTGTCTTCATCGCCTAAGACGACGCAGATTTCTTTGGGATTTTTGTTATGGGACTTGCGTCAGTGGAATAATCAAAGGTTCGAGAGCGTGGCTCTCGGTCACATATACGCGATTCGACATCAAATAAACGACTTCTTGGTCATACGGTTCGTTCATGCGGAGCCCAATTGTAATCTATAAAAATATCCAGATTGCATGGCGAGTAGCTCCAGTTGTCGCAAAGCATTGCTTGCCGAGTTTTCTTGCTGTAAATTTAACGCTCCGCTCTTTTCTTCCTTCGCTCTCTATCTTTCGCCAGTTCTTTTCTGCGATAATACTTTGCGCTCGATCCGCTTCTACCAAATCAATTGATATTTGCTCAGAGTACAATGTAAACTTTGTAATTCATGCTCACGCCGCTCGGCTTATCACGAAACTATCCATAAAATCATTGTCTCAAACTTGAGATAAACGCAACCTAACGAAGGGGGATAATTGAATACTTTTAAATTTTATTAATGTAATATTTGTTTGTCACAAATGTATCACGAATAATCTACACATCTTTTTTTTTATACTTTTTCTTATAATTTTTAAATGTTATTCTTTCTTTGCGGGAATATTTATTGCGCTTTATATAATATCTGATATATGCAATATCTATTTAAAAAACAGGAACATCTATAAAAAACAAGAACAATTTTAGAAGAACCTCTTAATAATATTTTTTTCATTATTAGTAACTTGTTTAAAAATTTATACGAATCTCATTGAATACCTATAAAGGAAGTTTTGACATAAAGGAAGATCTCTGTAAATGACGAATATAAAAATCACAAATTACTTTTCTAAAAAATTTTTATTTCTTTTTATAACAGTAAAACTTTTTTAGTTATAACAGTAAAATTTTTTTTTATAACATAAAAGAAAGGTAACCTTCACATTTCATTTTTTGTCATATGAATAATTTAATACGCAGCAATCATCAATCTTGCTCTATCGATCAAACGTGCAGTAAAACCTTTTTCAAAGTAAAAATAATTTTAAAAGCGTGACACTTACAGCGACCTTTCTGTCAAATAGATATCGATTTGAGATTGTTGATACGTTCTAGCTGAGAAAGATATCATCGGTGGTGTAAGGGATCATAAGAAATTCGTGAAAAGCCCTGGATGGATCAGTATGTTCTACTTTCACTCTTCTCCCTCATTCTCTTTCTTTCTCTCTTCTTTTTTCTTTCTTTCTCCCTCTTCTGCTCCTCGTGACTAAAAAACCTAGACATGTAAGTACATGACCCCAGGGAGGCAGTGACAGGCTATTGTTTCGCTGTTGCAGGTTACTCTCGGACGAGTACTCGGTTCGATCACGCATTTAGTAAGCTCTAGTAGAGAACAATGTGCTGTACATATATATCTTTCTCTATCTCTTTCTCTCTCTCTCTCTCTCTCTCTCTCTCTCTCTCTCTCTCTCTCAATAATACATACCTACTATATAAATCACCGAATATACACGTGGCATCCATATGTACATATATGTATATACATGCAACCATACGTGATGTGCATATGTATATAATATCTCTCTCTCTCTCTCTCTTACTCTCACTTTCTCTTTCTCTTGCTCTTTTTCTCTCTCTCTCTCTCTCGCTCTCTTTTTCTATCACTTCTGTCTGTCCCTCTTTTATCTATTCTCTCTTAATCACTGTACCAGTGTGCGACTGTATCGTAGTGTGTACTCACATAGAGCATGTCGACTCGACCGACAACGAATAAAACGCTATTTCGTGTATTGGCTGCCGATCGAGGAGACGATGATTCCGAGATCCCCGAGAGCGAGAGAAGAGATCAACCCTCCTAAACTTCGAGAGATAGCATTTTAGTTTACGGGCTACTTCACCATCTCCACAAACTTAATCGTTCTAGCACCGAAACTCTCTCCTTGATACACACGTTGTACACAAATCGCGTGATTCGAAAAACGGGGATACGCCAATGATGGAGGAGAGATCCGTAATTTGTGGTCGACCCGGAAACTCGATGTTTCTCCACGAGATTACTGTACTCCGACACTTCGGGATCTCTTCGGCTACTTCGATGCACGAGTCGATGTTATTCTCCCTCTTCTTTGCTCTAGACATACTTCTTTCGTGGCTCTCATGCGCCTCTCTTATTCTCACTCTCACTATCTCCTTCACTCTCTGCCTCTCTGTTTTATCCTCCCTCAGCGTGTGTCTAGTCAATAAGCATTAACGATGCTTTCTGCATATGTGAATTATCGTTTAAGCAACTATGTGTGGCATCGGTGATCTCTGTGGTTTCACTACATCGCACCGCTTTCACGATAGCGTATCCTTCCATTACGTCCCAGAAGATCCCGAATTTCACGATCCATATATTAAATAGACTTTTTTTTTGTCCACGGATTTAAAATTGACGTCTTCCTTGAAATGGGAAAAGTTTCTTGTCTTTAATTCTTTAAACTTCAAAAGATTGAAACTTTGACATTTTAAGGAAGAATTCGACGCTTCCCCGAAGACCTCATTATGTAGGGCATGGAGGCACCAGAGGCATTCTAGGTATCAATAACGTTGCTGTTAATGACTATAAAACGAGCCGAACTCTAGACTTTCACATCCGCACGTCTCATGGGACGTTCTGTTCTGGTTCGGGGATTATAACGTGTTTAAGGAACAAGAAACTTTGTCGTACATTTTAAGATCTGCTATCCTAGATGAATATTTGCGCACCCGGATGCATAGTGCCCCGAAGTCGCTTTAATTCCGAACTCACGTGGCGTGATAATGCAACAGGAAAAAGTAGTAGTCTCTATGAAGCTTCAAGCCCAGAGAGAAGCTAATTAAACGCGCGATGCTCGCGCGGTCTATTCCGGTATACGCAGCAGCTATTTTCGAACGTTTATCGACTTCTGCACCGGCGTTACTGCCGTTCCTGCGCCGTGGTAGCGCAGCGCTGGAGCTTCGCGGATAGCGATGGCCCTGGAAAGCGATATTAACTCATAATTTTTCAAACACGCAAGCCAAGTGAAAAGGCATTAATATCTTACGGATATACGTTATTACGAACAGTATCAGAATTTAAATCAACATCAAAAGCAATAACGTAGTGCATTTAGCTTTATTTGCAATAATATTTAAAATAACACATTCTAAGACATTCTTATAGTTTAGAAAAAAACAGATATGTATGCAATTGAAAATATTATCTTCGAAAATTTTATCTTTATTATGTATTTGTTTGCTTTACTGGAAAATATCGAGGTGTCATCGCTATTTGCATAGAGCTCGTTGCTAAAATGCGCTCACGGATGTACAAGGCGACCAGATTTTCATAATCACGATTCCCGTAATTAGTTAATCTCTTTTGCTTTGAGAAAGACATGATAAACAAATCAGTGTCCATTTCTATGAATATAGATTAACTTTAATCCTGCTTAATTAATTCTTAATTTATTCTTTATCTTTTTTTAATACATAAAGTCAAAGAGAGGACAAGAAGATAAATAACAAGTTAATCTAACTAAAATTAATTGCTTTTCTTTGGGCAATATATTTTCACAAAGCTTTAGACTCCTCTTTGAAATCATATTTTACTATCATTTCCAAGTTAAATTGATTTTGCATCAAGGTACAGGCACAAATAGGAAAAGTTTATTGTAATATATTATGGGGTTAATATATTGTTCAAAAGTAGGACATCTGGTCACCTTATAAATATATAATATACGCGAGGATCTAGAACGATGGGCACGATCAGCACAGCGAGCACAAACGTGAAGCACACGCCTATGCCGCGTTAAAGGCACGCAAATTAAGGAGAGCACAGGCGATCACGTGCACATTGCTAGTTAAGCATACATAGCGTGTGTTTGGAAACGTGAAATTGTGTCGCATTATTTTAGCAAATATGACGTCGCATAATGCAATATTCCTTTATCGCTCTATTTTTTTTCTGTTCGGTCAATGAATTTCATTATGACATTATAGTAAATAACAAGAAATATGAAATTTCACCATGACTCCGTTAGAAGAATACCAGTGTAAAGAGAGATAAAGTGCGAAGTAAGATCAATCATTTGATTTAAACGGGATTATCAATCACGAGAACGTCTGAGAATCCAGAATAAAAGACGCCATATTGCGATAGAGGAATATAATCGAGCTTGGAGAAAGATGGCACAGTACCTTTCGATCCTAAAGAGCATAGCATAAAATTATGAATTATCCATCAGACTCGAGACGTCACATGTTTACCCATATTTCACTTTAATATATTCAGGATTACATGAACGTATTATTCTGCACATGAGAGAGAGAACGTCAGTGTGTTTTTTAATTCTTTATATCTTTGAATAATATTAATATTAAGTAATTACTTATTATATTAAATAACATTTAATTCGCGATTGTCTTTCGGACATGAAGCTCGATATATCCCTAGAATTTCTTGAAGGTTTTATTTACATGGCTCGATAACTTACAGCGTGAAACTTACAATCTTTGAAGCTAGAAATGGCCGTTCATTTTCGGCATCCATGGCCGATATTTCGCGAGGAACGTGTTAATTGTTTTTCTTTTCGCACTAGCCGACTATTTCTGGCGTAATGCCAGCCGCGTGCACGCAAACTCGTGTCGGTATACGTATATCTGCATTTGCCTACATTTTTCTCAATCGTTGCGCACGTACGTTGTACATCAGCATCTACTTACGTGTACGTATACTGTATACTATATAAGGTGTCCGAGAATCATCGGACGAGCTGTCGACCAGTGATACAAACAGGGTCGAAAGTGTAAGCATGACAAGACCGATAGGAAGCACGCCCGATTTTCCGAACAATATATGCTTTATTCGAAACGATCTCAGTACAAATGCCGTGTTAAGTATATATCGATCAGTTTTGCGAATCAGTGCTACAGCCGCGTTACGCTGACAATTTGCGTGGCGTAGGTTGTTTATGATTAGCCTTCATTCGTGTGCATATACGTTCTTCGGAATCTATAGCACGGGATTCCATTCCGATCGATTGCATTTCCATATTTTCGGTTAGGTTCCAGTACTTATTTATACAAAAAATAAAAATAAAAAAACACACTGGGAGCTCCTCCGGTAATTCCGTGACCCTTTGACTATTATATATACTATGAATATATGAATATATATATAGAATGAATTTATTAAAATCATCATCCAAAATAGCTTCTTATTATATTCCACAAATTGCAATTCTTTCTTTGAAAGAGATGTGTGCTTCCTTGTACTAAAATTTAAAATTATTTAAAATTGTGTTATGCCATTGCATTTATTTTTACCCCGACGAAATTGCCTTAATATTTTTATTATAATACAAGGTTCATCAAATTTGTTTGAATTATTTTTTCTAATTATTTCTTTTTAAGTCAGTACATAAAAAGTTATTTTAGACGATAATTTCTAATGACTCGTTCTATATATATACGTTTGCTCTATATATATATATATATATATATATATATGTATACATATACATATACATATATTATACTATATATTATAACACGCTCTGCATACCTACTTATAATGTATAAGCGAAGCATGCGAAGAGTGCATCTGTGCATAATAAGGCATATGTACGCAAGTCTTTAAACTTAAGGTTCTACGCGAGAATCAGTGTGCATAAATTTTTAATCGTCGCTCTGTTGATTTTCCAGCGATCTGGAGAAGTATTTCGAGTATCAGGGTCAGGATTACATTTGTTCGCGTCCCGACGACAGCGGGATGCACTCCTGCAGTAATCTGCCGCCTCTCAAATTCGGTGAGTACATCCTCGATAAATTTCAAATGAATTTGTAAAATATAATTTATTAAAATATTATACATGCATAAAATTCCACTAAATTTAAATCTCTAACAATCACGCGCGTAGAATTAAATTAGAACTGCTTTATACAGGGGATGCTGCAGAAATCTGAAATTCAAAAGCATTTAATAAATATTTTTAAACCTTGATGAAAAATATTGTAACAAATATTAAAGTTAAATTTTTCTTTATTCCGGACTGTTCAATATAAATCTACGTTATACCCATTGGCGTTGTACATATTCGGGTAATTGATTGCTTCATCATCATAATCAAACACAACGACATTTTTCGCATTCTTTAAGGCAACTTGGTGTGCAACAGTACCGCTGTGCCAAACAGTAACGTCACGTTCATCAACAATGATACCTGCGTTAATTGGAACTACTACTACACCGAATGCAAAGGCCAGGGCAACAATCCATTCCAAGGAACAATTTCATTCGATAACATCGGTCTTGCCTGGGTTGCGATATTTCTTGTGAGCGCTTTAGTTACTCGTCCTACATTTGTTCAGAATAATTTACGTATGCATGTGTACATGTTACTTGAAACATGTATATGTGGCACGGAATATTTCTCCCATTTATAAGTATGTAAAATACTTTTACGGCGCCCGAAAGTCGAGGGAAACGCGGATCGCGCACATTAGTCTGCGATAGTGCCAAGAGAAAAACTACGCTTTTGACGATATTGCGGACGAATTGGTTTTCGATAAGATGTTATTGCAAATGAATAATGTGCTAGCTGGAAGATTTTACATTTTTATATGATAAAAATATATGAGTACGTAACTTTATTTGCTGCGTATTTTAACGTGTTTGTAGCATGATTCTTCTGAAATGAGCTTTCTCTCATTTTTAACGAAAATTTAGTCGTAACGTTTTGATATCTTTACGTCGCAATTTACATTAATTGATTGATAGACTAAATTTGTCATATCGTTCACTATTTCGCTGTAAAGCTGAGTAGCGCAATCATGTCGATTTGTAGGTTATTAGCCTGGAAGGATGGACGGACATAATGTATTACGTGCAAGACGCCCACTCCTTCTGGGACTGGATATATTTCGTTCTCCTAATAGTCGTAAGTGTTTCATTTCCTATCCCAATTGCACGGCAAGCGCAATATGTAAAACATGAGTAGACGTTATCTATTTTTCACATTCATATTTTCCACGGTTCTTACTTCGCTCATTTTTAATAGAAATTCAGCCGTGACGTTTTAATACCTCAGCCTCTTCAAGACAAATCACTTCTATCCCAGATAGCACCTATTGATACGTTTCCTAAACGTATCTAATGTTCTATAAACGTTTAAGAAACGTATATAAATCTAACATGTGCTACTGAAAATAATTCAAATAATAATAGTTCATTATTATCATTAAGTCACGATTTTAACGATCAACTGGTAGAATAAAATTGTAATATAATCTATGAGAAGATAGCGATAACAATTACAATATAAATATAAAACAAACGCGGGATGTATTATGAGAGAATTAAAGAGAGAGACATGGATTAAAGAGGACCTGCGTTTGCAGATCGGTTCGTTCTTCATGATCAACCTCTGCTTGGTCGTAATCGCGACGCAGTTTTCGGAAACGAAGAAGCGAGAAATGGAGAGAATGCGACTGGAGCGCGCGCGTTACCATTCAACCTCGACGCTCGCCTCATCCACGAATACCTCGGAGCCTACTACTTGTTACGCCGAAATTGTCAAGTGGGTACTCGCCATCGTTGCATGGCCCCCGAGGAAGCTATTCGCGCGAGCAAGATCATTCCTTGTCGTTCATTCCGCGAAAGATTCGCCAGCGCCCATGTTTTATGATATATGACAATTTGATATCACTTTCCAGATACATCGCCCATCTCTGGCGACGAGGTAAACGAAGACTGATGAAGAGATATCGCCTGTGGCTGTACAGGAGGCAGCAAAAGCGGGAGCAGAATTTACTCAAAGAGCAGCAGAGTCAAACGTCTCGTTCGAACACCGCTGCTGTCGGGCCAAATCGCGTACCGGGCGGTAAATAATATGAAATTAAAAAAATAGAATATTAAAAAAGAAAGAAATTAACTCCGGAACCGTCGATTATACCAATTTAGCTCCGCTAATCGTTTCAATTTTTTTGTATAAGATATAGTACAAAATATTGAAAAAGTATAAATATAAATATAAATAGATACAAATAATACCAAAATAATTCTTTACTAATTCAAAATAAAAATAGGAAATTAAATTGATACCTTCGACAGTTTTAGCGGGATATCATCAGTGGTTATTATTAAATATGATGGAAATGGAAGTCTTAAAATTTCTATGACGCTAATATTAACCTCGATTCGAACCCTCAAAATTGCCGCTTTTTTATACTATACTTATATTAAACTATTAGGTGTTGGAATTAATTCGTAGCGTTTTACAAGTGATTGGAAGTACTTTCATTAATGTATTTTTTAATGCTCATGTGAAATAAATAACATTCTTTCATTAAAAACGCTACGAATTAATTCCAACACCTAATATATTAAACTTATTTTAATAAATCTTTTTTAATTCTTATAATATAAATATTTTTATTCTTTAATATACTTACCTAATTAATATAATTTAAATTGTAATTTAAAAAATGCAAATTTTATTAAATATTATTTTTAACGATTATTAAATTTTAAAATTGCATATAATAATCAATATTAAACGTAATAATTAATATTAACACCTAAAACTCTTAACTAATCTCTATAGCGGGGTTTTTTATATTATTTTAAAATCTATAACTTTTACTTGTTTTAATTTATACTTTTTCTAATATATTAGGTGTTGGAATTAATTCGTAGCGTTTTTAATGAAAGAATGTTATTTATTTCACATGAGCATTAAAAAATACATTAATGAAAGTACTTCCCATCACTTGTAAAACGCTACGAATTAATTCCAACACCTAATAAATATTTTTCAATTATAAGAAATAGAAGTAATGACCGTAACAATCAAAGAAGCTAGATTTTTAATGCTTAAATAATTCAATCTGAATTACTATATATGTACTTGTATATTTGTAGTCATTCGAAAAAAACTGCCGAATTAGTTTTCAGATTTATAAACGCAATTAAACTATTGAAATAATATCATGAATTAAATTGACAAGCAATTTTAATAATTTGATGCTCAATCAGGCATTCTATTAAAAAGATGTTAATATGCTGAAAAATTATAAATAAATTTATTGCGAATAAACATTTTTCTTCTTTAATACTTATCTATAGGAATTTACATTGTAATTCATAAATTTTATTATTTAATAGAAAAATTTTTATTAAATATTGCTACTATTTTTAAAAAGTGACTTTGACGTTACTGTTATTATTAAAAATGCATTCCAATATTTAGATAGAAGACTGCATCACGGGAGGTGTCCGCGGCTTCTCGCCGCGCTAGAATATGCAGAGCAACAGCAACAGCAGCAGCAACAGGCTACCAACGGGAACGGTGGATCTGTCGCCGATTTCGCCACAATCACATCCCCGACACAATCGGCGATGGCAATTGCCGCCCCCACAGTCCCGACTATCGGCAATAGCGTCGGTGGTAGTGGAAATCTGGGCACCGCGCCTCGAGCTAGTCCCGAGCTTTCCGAGGCCGAGGCTTCCGCGAATGTGTGTCACAGATTAAGCATTCACCGCACCTCGTCCGTGTCCTGTAATGGAAGCGACAATGCTGTCGTGGGAAACGTGGCTGAGGCAAGTACAGATATTGTAGATTTGCATGCGAGAACACGACACGAGATTTTTCGTTAAATATAGGAGCGGTGCAATTGAAGTTCGGTAAATGAAATATCGGAAAATGATTTTCCAATAAAATATAATATTTAAATAATTAATTAATTAATTAAAATAAAATAAGAGATGAATAACGAAACGATATAGAAGTCATAATTTTATTATTGAATTGGAGATTCATAATGTTATTTTGTTTCTCCGGTAGTTTCATTTACGCCGCTTGAGCTTTTTGCTCTCTAGAAATATCACATTCGACTTTGATCTTAGCAAGCAACCAACTGTAAGCAAGAACGTCTTTGAATGAACGTCTTGAATTTGTTTAGCGCTCTTTCCGTTAAGCTATTCTCTTCGCTGACATTTATCTTGCACTTTATATCGATAGTAGTGTCCTCATAGTGATTATACATGCTTTTCATGTAGAAGAACATTAGCGTTTCATCGTGTTTCGTCGAATTTCTCGTCGATGATAATAGAGAGAACGTTTGCACAACAAAGAGATTTTGAGCTTTAGGTACGGCAAGATAAAGTGCATAAAGTTTCTTCCCTTAATGCTACAAGTTTGGGCCGAGAACGGTTATGAGAGAGAGCGCCTGCCGTAGTGTATAACGTATGCTTGATTATCGCCTTCTAGACGAACAGCACGTTGTTGAGTCCACCATGTACGCATTATCGGAGAAGAAGCAGCGTAATGTTTAGCGACGTGGTATTGCTCCATGGCAGCAATAATGTCGGGAATGCGTTGCAGCCGGGGTTGACGGTGACACCGGGCGAACGTAACGTCTGCTCGAGCGAGAAGATGACACAGACGGGCGATGGTAACGTTTGGTCCAGTCCACTGCCGGACCACGCGCAGGTATTTCCAATTGCCATGGTCGCTTCGTAAATTGTGGAGGTCTTTTCCTCTCTTAAATATGGCATACTGTCGCAGATGCAAGCCGAACTGGGTGGCAACGAGGCTATGACGTGTCAGGAATTGTTGGCTCTCAGTGGTGCTCTCAGTGCTGCTCTGCCAACCGGCCAACTAGCGCTCGATTCATTTTTAAATTCTCTCACGAAAGGCAAGTCAATGTGACGTACGATAGATACGATTTGTCGTAAAATTGAAGTACATGAGTTATTATATTTATTATTATACGGATTCTTATCTATGAATGTTTTAAACATCTTTTAAATCAACTTATAACTCATTATTATGTCCGACTTTTAAAAATATTAAAATAAAAACTATCAAAATAATAAAATTTTTAAATGAAAACATTACATTTTTAAGACATTCTAAATTTTGATAAAAAATAAATTTGAATGCTTTTGAACATCTATTCCAGTTTTAAGTTTAAAAAAAATATTTACAAACAACTAATAGAATTTGCACTTAAAAAAAATATAAAGATGAGTTAATGTGTTAGGTATAACAGATCGTCACATCACATTGGAAGATCGCACGCAGTGGTTGACGTCCGACGTTGACAATTGTTCCTGTTGCTGCGAGCTGCAGGCAGGTGAACAATGGCCGGAAGACGGTGAGAAGTGGCAAAAGTCCTCGCGGCCTAGACAGCTTCTAAGACGCGCCGGTAGCTGCTGTATCTGCACATTGCGCTGTATAAGACGGTGGATCAAGAAGCTGGTCGAACACAAATACTTTCAACAGGGTATTCTATTGGCGATCCTCATCAATACTTTGAGCATGGGAATCGAATATCACAATCAGGTGATTTCTCACTGGAACTTGAAATTACTTCGATGTCATTTCAGATCTTTTTAGCACTGCTTTGTGTATTCTTATTAACGTATTCCATTACAAGTTTGACAATATTTTCTACTTTGCATGTAAAAAACAAAATATAATAATATTGCTGGGCAATTATTAGATATTTATACAGAAAGAATAATTTTGCTGAAATGTTTAAAAATTTAGCTAAATACAAATTTGAAAATAATTTTTGTTGAACTATCAGAATAATTATATGAGACACTCAAACATGATACGCAATGCTGCATGAAATTTTCATATTTTAGTTTGAGTGTCCTACATGATTCCTACATAATTATTTCGATAGTTCAACAAAATTATTTTCTGAGCTGTATGAGCTAGTGAAATTTTTAGATATTGTTTCCTATTAGATATTCTTTTCTTAGATGTTCTTTCCTATTCTCGATATAACGTAATTAAAATGAAGATAGAACTTTGTGTAATTACTAATTATGATTATGTTACTAATTATGTTATATTATGTACTCAGCCAGAACAGTTAACAGTGGCCGTTGAGATAAGCAACATTGTATTCTCGGCAATCTTCGCGGTGGAAATGTTGCTTAAGATAATAGCGGAAGGTCCATTCGGTTATATCAGTAACGGCTTCAACGTTTTCGACGGCATCGTCGTCGTTCTGAGGTATGACAACTTTCTTCGCAAACTTTGATATTATAATATAAAAAAATAATAGCCTTCGTGTGTAAACAATAATATTAAATAGCTCACGTATACAGTATTGCGGTGTAAAATATGTAGACACACATACGATTGTCAGCGCAATTCCTTCAACTTTATAGTCACATTCCGACTTTACGAGAAAGTCATAACAGACGGTAGTAGATCGTTTCATTCGTTATGGCTGTCTCGTAAAGCTGTTCGAGAACGGATCGTCTACAATAAGTTGACAAACGATAACACGATTGCACTCCTTGCAACACGTTTACAGCGTCGTCGAGCTCTGCCAATCAGTCGTAGAGGAGCGTGGTGGCAGTTCCGGTCTGAGTGTCCTGCGTACGTTCCGCCTCCTCAGGATCCTGAAGCTAGTGCGATTTCTACCCAATCTACGACGTCAGCTTTTCGTGATGCTGCGCACCATGGATAACGTTGCCGTATTCTTTTCTCTTTTAGTACTTTTCATCTTTATATTCAGGTAAGTCGCTGTCCTATCTTCGTCCGCGTCAGCGACACTGCCGCGGAATTACGGGCCTCGGGCCCACGTCGCCGGATCTTCTCTCCGTTTCCGCTTCTCTGTTTCTTTTCTCTTTTTTTTCTTGCGTGTGTCGTTAGCCCATTTCGCGAATCGGTATCATCGCCGATGAGTAATTTGATGAGTTCAACCGCGAGGAAACCGCCCGACTGAACCTACGTGTCGCGTTTACTCGGATTATGGGGCGCTGTCGCGTCTTCCTGTTCTAATTATCATCTCATCAGCCTAGTAACGTTTGCATGTCTGGCAAGACGGATCGAAGTTACGAAACTGCCGATAGGTATTGTTCAAACAAATTGAGCAAGAGCTTGGAAATATGAAGCGTCGATGACGATAACATTAACCATTAATCTTATAAATCATGTGGGAGGCTTACGGGAATATCATGAAAAAGTTCAATGATTTTGTAGATTTTATTACAACATATTCATTCTCGGTAATAATGGCGATAAAAATTGCGTTTAATAATCAAATTTTATTTTGTAGCTTTATAAATATGATAGTATAATATATCAGTTTTTATCCCTAAAAAATTATTTTTAGATTAAAATATCTTTTTTTAAAGACTCCTTCCCGCTCTCTACATATATATAAATTCTTTAGAATAAATCTTACTCTAAAAGAATAAACTTTCACACTTTAGAGAGCACTGAAGTCGATCGTGCCAATCGACTCATTAACTTTTCCTACTCTTATAAAAAAAAAGAAGAAGCCAATCAAGATGATCTACTTCAGTGGAAACGAGCTTCAACTTTGAAAAGAATAAGAATCCTAGATAGTTTTAACAGATTTTTTTCATTTAAAATATCTGTTACTTATATTTGAAAAAACATGTAATAATTATAATCCTTCAAATTAAAAAAGAATTTTTTGACTTCTATCTTTCTTCCTGTTCTTTTATTAATTATTCATTCAGCATCATTTTAAATTTAATCATGTTTATTTGATAACAATGACGCTGATAATAATGTCGTCGACACTTGATATTTCGAAAACAACTTCTTGTTCGCTTCTACGAGCTTTCGAGCTTCAGGAGCAAATCGCGCGCCGCTGCTCTTCGAACCGAGGCCTACATTAGGTGACTTTCTTCCGTTCATACCTTTCTCTTCTACTTTATTCGCTTTTACTTTGTTTCTTGCGCGGTGTATAAGCCGCCATCAATTATGCATATCACATATATATATATATAGAAGTTCTCAAACAGTTTTACCAGCAGTTGTCCCGTGTTCTCGCGTCTCCTAGCGTTTCTTTGAGCGGCATATTTTCTGACGTTGTTAATGGTAATGACGATGGTATTTGTTGGCACGATCTATTACAAGGAGAGAGCCGGTCTGCTGCCGGCTCCTCCTTTATAGCTTGAGGCATCAAACGTACTTTCGACGTTTATCTAGAAAATATATCTATATATAAATATATATATACGTATATGGAATATATATTTACATGTGTGTGCATGTGATGCTTTTCTGCTGGACGTCTTAGCGACGAGTATGAAAGGCTATATGTATATATATATATTTACTATCATCATATTCTTGATTTATATTCATATATACACTTGATTCTCTCCCGCTATCGTTCTCTCTTGCTACTCTGAGCGCCTATAATTAAGTGCGTGCGCCTCGGTGTGGCCCTCGATATTAGAACAGCTTGCGAATGTTCGACATATACCCCCGCTCTGCAGAATTACATATATATACATATATATATCTCGTCATGCTGCGTAGGACCTCCCACTATATACATCCGTGCGTTTACGACGCGTTTTACGACCGTTCGATAGCCGATTTGCCGTTCACCGCAGCCGCAGCCCTCGCTATTGCGATCTCGATACTGCAATGATTGCCCGATATCTGCCGCAGACACGTAGACGCAAACATTGAAAATTTCGCTGTACTCGAATAACTTCAACAATTAATTAAACGTTTAAAATGTTTAAAAGTAAAAAAAAAGAGAGATTTTATTATTATTAAATGTATATCATCAATAACATTGTTAAAATACCTAAAAATTTTATTTTTTAATAGTCTTGGTGACAAGAGTAGCCTTAAGCATTTCTTAGATTAAAATAGAATTAAAAGTCAATATTTTAATGTGTAAAATGTAATTTACAAGCAGTTTTTTTTCGAGGAATTGCGAAGAAGAAAAGAGCAGGGAAGAACATTTGGTAACATCGCACATTTGACGCAAGTCCGCAAATGTGGTGATCTTTTTTGTTTGAAACTCTCTCTTGAACATAAAGTGAACCTTCAGAAGTGAATACAAAGTCGTACGAAACTATGCAAATGCTTGCGGGTACGCCTCTGCGCGCCGATCCGTAGACATTTTCTTCGACGGCCATTTCTAGGTGTTTGCATCCTTTTTTAGCCGCAAGCCGCGAATGAAGTTCCAACAGATCCGCTTTAGAGGAATTTTTCCTTCTTTGATCGGCCGGCGTACACTAAATAACGAAGTACTCTCGATGTACTTGCATCGTGATCGCAAGCAAGCTCCCGACTTACTCGGCCAAGGTTTCAGATTACGATGGACGACGAAAGTTCATGTCAAAATCGATTCAAGTTTTCTCAAGCGCTTCTAAAAACCGGTATTGTCATCCTACACATCCTTTTATGAGATACGTCGTGTTTACCAACGGATATTATACTTTACGACATAAAGATCGTAAAAGAATGTCACTCGATCGATTCTGCACTTTCGTCGTATTACGAGACACATGATATATACGAAATGTCATAAAATCTATCGGATGTTCATTCAGTCATAAATAAATTCAACATTGAATGTTATTTTTGGCGGGGCTTCTGTGAGAATTATTTGATTCTACATAATTAAATAAACTTTACTCTTAAATAGATATTTAATATTTCCTCTCTTTCTCTAGAATTAAATAATTTAAAATTTAATGTTTGTGACAGTCTCCTTTCATAAATCGAATTTATAGTTGAAAAAATATCCGATGGATTTAGAACTCTTTGTATACATATTTATATACATATTTTGAACTGATCGATTACTTGGCCGAGTCATGCTTTATAAATCGCGATTCTGTCTTAATCGAGCTTTATTCCCCTCTCTTTCCGTTTATTCTGTTTCTATCTCTTTATCATTTTTTTTGTCATTTTATCTCAGTCTACGTATATATATATACATATATATATGGATAAGGAAGTACATTGCACGTTTCGTTGTGTTGTAGTATTCTCGGGATGAACCTGTTTGGTTGCAAATTCTGTGAAACGATGAAAGGCAGCTCTGACGTCGAGTGTGATAGGAAAAACTTTGACTCGTTACTCTGGGCTATTGTGACGGTGTTTCAGGTACCTACCAAAAAAAAAAAAAAAAAAAAAAAGAGAAAGAAAAAAAAGGATACTTTTTCACGTATCTTCTCGAGGGCATTTTTGATTTCTCTATATAGTGTATATTACTTATATATATTTATTCGTGCATATATATTAACGTTATACTACACCGCATCTACATATATATATATATACGCTAAGTATACATACAGAAAAACTTGTGTCTCGTTCCCTTGGGCTTTTGTGCGGGTTTTTGAGGTACCAACAAAAAAAAAAAAAAAAAAAAAAAAGAGAAAGAAAAAAAAGGATACTTTTTCACGTATCTTCTCGAGGGCATTTTTGATTTCTCTATATAGTGTATATTACTTATATATATTTATTCGTGCATATATATTAACGTTATACTACACCGCATCTACATATATATATATATACGCTAAGTATACATACGTACTATCACGTTTTGGTTTTCCGACAAGTTAAAGTCATGCGATCTGTCGCAACGTGCGTCCGCCTGCACTTTATATGATTTCTGAGGCCTCAGGTAACGTATACTGGGAGATAAGCGCTTTCCAGCATGTCGTCGTCATCTCTTCGACGGGGGGGGGGAAGGGGGGGGGGAAGGGGTAAGGCAGGAGGAGGCTACCGGTACCGACTTTAGAAGTAATAAAGACTTTAATAAAGTATGCTTAACGAAGTATTATGAGGCTTTTTTACAAGGGAGATCATTCTTCAATATCGTATTTTCTGCGACGGATACATTGGAGAAGAGGAGACAAAGCCTCCCTAGAGCCGGTACTGGGAGCTTAGAGACGAGGCACACGGATTATCCGGAGTGGATTATCAAACGTTACATACGATTGCCGGCGATAATCCCGGTGGTGCTTCTTCATTTTACGTTTATTCGTCACTTTACAAGCACAATATACGCGTGCGTTAATACGCTGCCTCCTGCCGCGTCTTCTGTAAGCGCGTCGAGCTGGCTCCCTTCTGATATGCCTTCGCATGCACTTGTTCTCTCTGTGTGTCGCAATGACGAGCGAAATTACCTACAGCTTACAAATGTTTCAAGATAATAATTATCAGAATTATCAATTACAATTTTGAGCACGTAATAAAAAAAGATGAACAAATGATATGATATGTAACAATGTCACGTAAGGATTCTAAGGATCTAATGATTAATTAACACGCTCGAATGTGCTTTAAAAAAACATGAGATTTTTGCAAGAGTGCAGGCATTTTCGCTCAGGAGAAAATTTTGCTTAGACGCTTGGCATACTCATTCGCTTATCCCTGTATCGGTGATGTTGACATTACTTTTATATTGATGTTATATTGATATTATCAGAATAGATAATTTAGTTATAATGCTAATTGCGCCACTGGAATCTTTAACAATATAGGAAACCGAAGACCGGTGTGTAGAAATATTCGTCAATAGAGTCTCAAAGCGATTGAACGATGGAAAATATCATGTCAATACGTTCCATACGTTCTCATGGCAGTGGATAATAAACATCCATTATGCGCGTCCAAACGAGGAGCAACAACACAAATAATGCAAACGTTTAAATTGCGAGTGCAATGGGAACACTATAAGTTTATTTTCTCTAATTGAACTGGTGTACACTTTTGGAATATAGATTGATATTCATAGCGGTTCTTATTTTAAAATTGTCCTAATGCCTTAAGATGCTAATATGATTCTGCGATTGGCTTATGACATCTTAAGATTGTACTTAAGACTGTTTTAAATATAAATGAAATAGATGTGTTTGAGTTTTTGGCGCGAAGACGAAAAAAAATTTTAGTGCAGGAATAAAAAAAACAGAAGAACGAAACTAAAAGATGATAAAATCGTCCAGATAATAAGTCGATATTTCTGGACGTGTTCAGAATATTTGTGTTGTTTGGCAGCCATTCTAGGATCGCCCGGACAGGTCATATCCTGCCTAAATGATACGATAAATGGCCGTTCTAGGATTACATGGCGATCCCAGGGTTGGCTCTTTGTCTTGGCCTGAACTGCCAATATATCGACGAAAATGAAACTCTTGCCCCGGTTCATATCGGTATAACGCGCGTGTTGCGCAAATTGCTTTGCATGCGATGTGTTTTCTTAGACATTTGGTCGGCATTGTCGTTGTTGCTGTTGCCGTTGTCTTCTTGTACCGCGCGTATATATCACACCTCGCTGCACATCACGTCTTCTTACGAAGATCGACATTCATGTACCTCACTACAGAACTTTTACCAGTTACACTGCTAAAAAGAAGCGTCGCAATCAGCGGCGACCGACAAATAGCGCGAATCGTGTTCTTAGATTTTCTACGAAATTAGAAGCAAAATCACACGCCGAGAAATCAACGTGGTCTCGGCGTTCATGCTTCTTCACACACTTCACCTACGATAATTGTGCACTTTAAACGTAATTAAAAAATGATGTCACGATATCACGTCACACATTTTTAACAGTGTAGCACAATATAAACTATTCTCTGCCACACGCTTATATATTTCTCTCTGTGTCTTCCCTGTACTTCACTATACTTCACTATCTACTTCTCACTATACTTCACCTCACCACTTACGACATTACACTTCTCTTCGTACTATCCTACCTCTATCTTTCTCTGTTCTTCTTTTCTTACTCGTTCTATCCGTAACTTTTCTGTCACTTTCTCTTTAAAACGCCCACGACGACTCGAGCGCAAAAGAACTTCGTCCCGTGTTGTACAATGCGTGCGTGAAATATCGACTCGACCCGACAGGAGAATCGTCGCGTCAGAAAATCCTTCATAATTAAACACCCGAGGACCTGAGATGGGACCTCGTATCCATCTCCAACGTACACGAATAACACGAACAAAACGCGTTTCTACCTTCGACGTAAACTAATATATAGACCAAAAGGCTCAACACGTAGATTTCGGAGAAGCCCGAATAACTAAACAGCTTTTATCTCGTTTATTATTATGTTACCGCACGTATCTGCATCTATTTAAAAGTAAATACTCATTTAAAATTGTTACTATATATTTTCTTACTAAATATGTATATACTTTGAAAAAGAATGCTTTTTAGAAGTTGGATCAGATTTGATCCAGCTTTGGTAGCCTAAGTTATCAGATTATTATGGTAGTCCGAAGGATTACCAACTAGTATTTTCTAGTTGTAGTGGAGAGAGAGAGAGACAATTTCTTTTTACTTAATTTTAGAAATACGAGCCAGGTAAATATATATATAGATCGCGCAAGGCACGTAATATCGTATTAACATCAGTGCAGTCTCGGTAGATTTGTGCGTATCTTTTTGTAAATACTCGCTGAGACAGATTTTTCCGTAATACATATTACACCGTATTTGCGTATTAGAGGATTATATATTTACGCTTGTGGCAATTATCCCTTTTTTCCCTCTCTCGTAAAACGTTCGCCGTGACATTCTGCAACGGCAGGTGCCTTATTTTCTCCACTATTCTCTTCTCTTCGCGACCGCGTTACCGAAGCTCTCTTTCCGCCCCGTTTATTTTCACGCCAGTTTACATCCGTAAAGTGTGTGCGGATTTCTGTCGACGTTGATTTAAAGCTCTCGTTATGTTTGCCCACGTTCGGCGCCCCCGACTTTCCTTCAACGTCAACGAAACGAAATTCGCAAGAAAAATCAGTCAACGTAACACAACTGACAGGCTTGACAGATAATACTTTTGCGGACGCGTCCGAATAAATGTTTGTTATGACTTCCGCGAACCGGACGTCACGTCGTGTTAGAGTCAATTATTGTTCCAATGTGCGTCCTAAAATTAGCATTATTGATTGCCCGCGTGAAACATTAAACAATTAATACGTTTGTATGATATACGCATTACGTCGAGAGATTATATGATATACGCGAACTCATGAAATGTTTGATTTACATTTGATGACGTCTCTTTGACTAATTTCAGGGAGAATTAAATGTACTTTAATGAGAAGAAATTTTATAGTTGTTCTTTGAATAAAAAGTAACTAATTTTTTTTTTTAATTTTAGTTCTTGTTCCTTGTTCCGTCCCGTCGAATAAACCGTTACAACCGCACACAGTCGATATGATCCGCCCACAATCCATAAATGTATACCTACTTTACACGCATTCGCCTGTATTGTTGCAAATATACAAAATACATATATTTATATATATATACTAACACGCCGAACTTGCAGAATGTGACTGTACGAGCTTCGAGTGACAGTCGTTTTCGCTGTTTTGTCCAACACATTTGCTTAATTCCTTACCGATATCCAGTGCCTCCGTTCTCCAAAAACCGAATCTGTTAAAATTAACTTTATTAATCAATTTAGAAACAACTTGATGCAAAAAAAAAATTTCAATTATTTAAATTCTTCATATTACAAATAATTAAATAGTAAATTTAAATTTTGTAATTTGAGAGAAAACGCATTTTTGTAATAATTTTTATTATTTGAATATTAATTCGATATATAATTCGTAATATTTGATTCAATGTTACTTAAAAATTATTATGCTATGATTTAACACAAAATATAAAAGCATTAAAGACGGATATTTATATCTGTAATATATATGTATTGGCACGATGAATGGAAAAATCGAAAAAAATCTCCTATCGCATACATGTACATAATATATAAAAGTTAAAAATAGACGTTTCTCTTTGTTGAAATATTTTTAAAATATGAGCTTTAAACCTAGATTGTTACTTTGAGTACTTAAGCACAAAAATAATAACGAACTACAGATTATAACGAACAAAAACGATTTCTTAACAATCGTTTTTATTGTGCGGTCTGACATTTCACAGAGCCAATTAAAAATCAAGCTATTATATAATCATTAAATAAGAAGAGAAAATAATACGTTATTTTAAAATAATTTTCTAATTTTTTATCTAAATATATATTTCATAGATCAGCAACTTCATCATAGTCACCTGTCAATTGATGCAAAAATGCTAATGATCGACACTAACGACATTAATGTTCGTACAATATTCATAATCAAATGTCACTGACGTGGTAGTAATTATTACGATAAATATACCAGATAAAGTTAATCAATCATATGTACTTCCTGCATTAATTAATTACATAAATAACAAGGTCGCTCATATATATATATATATATATATATATATATATATATAGTAAAACAGTGAGAACGGAGACGCTGAACGGCGATCGTACCGTTCTAATCCCATCAACCACTTGGTCCCACCTCACCCCACTGTTTATCTCTATCGCGGGGATACTTTAGGCCAGCGGATTGTCTCGGTTGCAGCATCCTAGGGATGTACCTGTTCGGGGGTAAGTTTTGCATGTGGGCGGACCGGAGTCGGCCCTGCACCTGTGCCGAGGTGGTCTCGCGGCACCCATTGTGTCGCTGTGATCGCAAACATTTCAACGACATCGTCTGGGCACTAGTCACTGTTTTTCAGGTACCACTGTTCCTCCCTCTCTTAACACTATATGATAACGAATTTTTTACATGTTTAAAGCGACATACACGTATATATGCGTAGCCAATTTTTCGTGTACACGGTCTTTTTTCTCCTACCTATATTCGTGTCCACATTCTCTGTCTGTACAGATCGCCGGATCGTATATATATATATGTATATATACATATATTTTTCTTCGTGTTGAGCAAACGGACCCAGACATCCCACTGTCCCCTAAGCTCGCCTACGCTTCGTCCATTCTTCTCTCTTTGTTATCCGTGCCGAGTGACAGAGCCTTAATGGTTGCTTTGTATTTACATGCGTGCAATCGGTATATACGTATACATGTCGACGTTCACCATTTCGTTTACTCGCGCAGATCAAACTGCGCGACGATGACTCTACCCACGAGTGTGTGTTGTGATCTCGATTCAGCACACGCCTCATCTCCATGTAAAGCAACTGATGTGCTGCAGAAGCTGCTCGAGTTTCTGCCTTTCTATCACGTGTTTCCGTTTACATCTGTATTCTACGATGCAGTCTGATGCATATCGATAACTTTTTAAATTTGTCACTGCACAATTAATGATTATTATGTATCAGTGATATATATGCTTTTATTCGCGATAATAGATATTTGTTTTATAATTTAAAAAGAATAAATGTCCATAAATGTTAATAAATTAAATAATAAATATATGTTGACAGTTGCTTTCTAATTATTTGTATCGTTAAATCTCATTCTTGTCACGCGAAAATTGTTTAAATTCGAATTAGATTGAATACTATTAACAAATTACGATACATTTTTTGCGCATGTAAATAACAATCCTATTAACACTCGACTAATCGTTTATTCGGTACATTGAATTAATTTCTTTTGAATGTTGATTTAAAAAATTTTTAAACAGCGTGTAACATTATCAGGCTAGAAGGAGAACTAGAAGATAGACTGAAGAGTTGATACAGTTAGATAGACGAATACATGGATAGAACACGAAAGCTCTCGCAAAGAGAAATTCTTGATAGAAAACATGACGCATGCATTTTTACGAAGTATTGCGACACTGATTGGCAAAACGTTTCGTGCATCTCTATCGAATATTTGGACTCGACTTGTTTTGAACGTCGATCTCTCGCGATTTCATGTATCTAAAAAATGAATTTAAAAAAAAAAATAATTTAAAAAATATTTTGTAAAAATAAGTTGTTTGATTCCAAATCTAGTTAATTAGTTAAAGTTATTTTATCACTTAATATACTTCTCCATTTTTCATTCTTTACTTTTATATAAACATAAATAATATTTAACGCAACTAACTATATTTAACGCAATGTATAATTCAATTGAAATACATACGTAATTAAAACGGTTAACACCAATGTATTAATATGCTAACGATTAAATCAATAGATATAATAGAATCTTTAAATAGAGATATATACATTTATTGCATAATAATATTATAATTATAATAGTGTCATAATTACTAATTTTATTGTAATTTCGTTATATTTGTCCAATAATTTCAATTATTTGATCGTACTCATTATAATTTGCAAACATACATACACACACGCACACACATGCACACACATACAATTTGAATCTTAACAAAAGATATATAAGATTTTTTTTATCTGCGCGCGAACATGTTTTACACTACGTAAATTTTTGCCACGCTTCGAAAGAAAGAACGTCTTGCCGATCACGTGCCTGAATAAATAAGTGTAGACATCTATTTCATTTATATGCAGCGGGAATCTCTTCCCATTCTTCTTTTTATGTAGATTCTCACACAGGAAGATTGGAATGTCGTCCTCTTCAACGGTATGCAGAAGACGTCTCATTGGGCTGCGCTTTATTTCGTAGCATTGATGACTTTCGGCAACTACGTCCTCTTTAATCTTCTAGTCGCCATTCTTGTTGAAGGTTTCTCGTCGGAGGTAGGAATTAGAAAATAATATGTTTTTCTTATTCACAATATAATATTTAATGCAGAAGAACAAAAATATAAAATAAATATCTAGTTAATGCAAATTAGTTAGAGTTATTTTATTACTTAATCTACTTCTCCATTTTCATTTTTTACTTTCATATAAACATAAATAACTATATCTATAAAAATCTTCCAATCTATACTAAAAATTTAATCTAATGACTGTTTTGTATTGTAGACAATTCAATCTAATGATTGTTTTATATTGCAGACAAATCTGTTTTAATCTGGGGAATAGTCATTTGTGATGTTTTTATATCCCGACGAAAATGTGAATTGTAAAATATTGTTTTGTATGAATATATTGTTTAACATATTTTCTTTCTTTTTTTAATAATTAATTCTATAAACTCTTTAAATATGCAATTCCATTAAAAACATGCTTATTTCATTTAATATTTATTTGTAATTTCCATTTAAATTTTTTTTAGAGAGAAAGAAAGAGAGAGAGAGAGAGAGAGAGAAAATTGTAATTAAATCTATACCCATAATATTTAATTTAAAATATTAATAAATCGGAAATCAATAATATATTGTTAATAATAATGATTAATTAGAGTATAAAAATACCCCAAGTGATCGTTTACGTAAAAAATCATAATTATTCCCTGATTAAATATATTTATGTTTATGAAAATTTAATTTATAATCATATATACGTGTATATGAAGGATATATAACTGATGGTACTTTGTAGAGAACTGATGATATAACTGATGATATTTTGTAGAGAAACGAGAGGAGAGAACGAGAGCAAAGAGAATTGGCAAAAAGACTCGCCGCAAAAGAAGCTGGAATAGGCAGCGAGGATGGATCGTCAAGAATATCGGGATCGCATTCGATCTCTGACAGCGATACGTATACCCAGGTAGTTGCTCGCAGTCGCTCCAAATAAATCTAGAATCCTAGCCTCGTTTATTCCTCATTTTCTATCACGCGGAAAAGATTGATTGCGAATGTCTCCATTTTAAAATATTCTTTCAGAATCTTTTACAGAAAAGGATCAGCGTAATATTTTAAGATTCGCAAGACATCTAAAATATTCTAGGCATGAATTAAATATACTAAAAAATGTAATTTCCGAGTTATCTATATATTGTATTCATTGTATTGATTACTAGAGAAGTACGAATAGAATTATAACAAACGAGTTGTTCACTTTATTGATTTATCTGAATGAATCGATATCAAATTTCCCTCGTGCGACTTGTAGGATCAAAAAAATTCATGGCAAAGTGCAGAAGAGCTTAGGAAGTACAAGGACAACAGGGAGAAGCAGAACAGCGTATGGAAGCAACGGATCGATGAACCTAAGTGTAACATCCAGAAAGAGAGCAAGATGATGGGTGTGGCGGGTCAGCCGCCGATAATTACTCATACAGCAGCCACTCCTCAAGACTCTCCGAACACCACGTTAGATGTTGGCTACAGAGACCTCAATTGTCGAGCAGTTTATCCGACTGCTGCCCTTTCAATCGAGTCCATCGATCGATCTGGTGTACGTTGTTTTCATTTTAATAAAAAAACTCGTCGTCGTTAAACGACGCAGACGGAAGTTTTTGCCGTGTGATTGATATACATAATACATTCGTACCTATACTTAAAAAAACCATCCGTTTTTTACATCGAATTAGATTAGTTAATATCGCGAAGCTTCCATACAATTTTGAGTTCAAAAGATTTCCTACTGTATTTTATTAGAATTCTGGATTAAAGAAGATATGTTACGAGAAAATATGATAATGACGAGTGCTTTGTATTCGCAGAGTCAGTGCAGTATATCCTCGGGATTGCTAAAGTTACCTGATGTATCCAACAAAATACCGACAAATAATTTAATAGCTGGTCAATTCCCGAGACGCATAAGCCTCGTTACGGCCGTTGTTAATCCCTCAACGAGGGACTCGAGTTCTAGGTATCTACGTTTTGTCTGTTACATTAAATGCTTTTCTTTTTTCTGATACCACTTCTTTCCATTTCAGTCCGCCGAGGATACAAAGAGGATACTCGTGGCGCTTGTCGCGGCCATCTTTGGGGAGGAAACGATGGTCGCAAAGCGATGATGAACACACCGGCCATACTACTGTACTAAACAATGGGCGTAGTACTCTCGTTGGATCCAATCTAACGTATGTTGTAAAAATATTATTTGGGATTATTTATCCCAAATTATTCTCGAAAGACATGAATAATTAATTAATTAATTAATTAATCCAGAGTTCACTGAACAAGTTTTCAGCAAAAACAAATATTGCATTATATCATGCAATATTCGTTTTTGTTAATTATTTTATGTACATTAAATTAATATGGAAATAATAAAATAAATACCGCAATATAATAATTGTAATAGTAACAATTAATATTTGATTTCTTGCAGATTTAATGGCGGTTATTTACACGGTTCGATAAGAAACGATACTCAACGCGATGCGCCCAATAATCGAACAACCGTCCTGACAAGCAATAATCGTAGTTTGAGTCCTAATAATTCGCTCGAAAGCCATGCTCCATGGTCGATTCGTCGTTACACAGTTACGCCTAACCAGGTAAATTGTGCGAGAGACACAATATCTTTATTGACATTTCTTAGATCATAAATTGTTACTTTATTATTGTGTTGATTTTATATCACGTGTTGCCTGTTGAAGATATTTATCGATATCATTAAAAAGTACTATTTAAAATATTATAATAATAAAGCGACACATATACACAGAAACGACGATTTTGCTCGAAGCATCTAAAAATTTATATAGATTTATACAGATTTGAAAATAATTTTGTTAAACTATCAGAATAATTATATAAGACTCATATTGATTGCTACGATGTAAAAACTTTTTACAGGGTTGCTCATTATGCTTGTCCTATATAATTATTTTGATGATTTAATAAAGTTATTCAGCTCTGAATCTAGCTAACTTTTAAATACTTCAACAAAATTGCTTCATAAAATTCTTTATTTATATTTATATGAGCATTACATTTTACACATACATTAAGATATTTGTTTTAAAAGAAAAAGAAGAATTTTTCGTGAATCTTTATAGGAATTACTGGAACGTGATTTACAGATGCGATGGATTGGCGAGCTTTCACGGAGAAATTCACTGCGCGGATACGAGAATGTTCAGACGTCCACGAGGAAAACGCTACCATTGGACGAGATGCTCGCACCGTCCTCGAACCCACGCACGATCAATAATCTCTCGATGGAGACCGGTCCGCTGCCGAGAATCAAACGACTCCATGAACAAGAAGAGGAACGTCCGAGAACGGGTGGCGAGCAGACTCCACCGTCGAATGGTCATGGTAGCGCAAGCAGTATCGAAAGAATAAAAAAAATATTCATGTTTTTCGAACCTAAGGGCTGCCTGCAGGAGCGTGACAATTATTCCCTATATTTATTCCCACCAAATAACAGGTAACATTATAAATAGGAGTAATGTTGCTTGACTAGCGTTTGAAATTTTACTATAAACTGGAAAGAATGGGGATATAATAATAAAGAATAATAAAAATATAAGGATGTAGAATAAATTAACTGCTGGAAAAATAATGTAGATTTTATTTTATAATAATATTATAATATTATAAAATTTTTTTTTTGGCTGCAAATATATAAAATTAAAGTAAATAATTAGCATTTTTATATAATTAGAGAGTAATGTACAATTAATAGTTTTCTCGATACTGCAGATTTCGCATTTTATGTCAATGGTTTGTGGATCAAAAATGGTTCGACAACGTGGTATTGTTATTTATTGGATTAAATTGCATTACTCTGGCAATGGAACGACCGAATATACCGCCGGACAGTCGTGAGAGAATTTTTCTATTGACCGCGAATTACATTTTTACTGCTGTTTTCGCCATCGAGATGTTCATTAAGGTATACGTGCCAATAATTTTTATAAGTTTCAAAAATTTTGTCTATAATATTTACATAATAATTTCGAACAACTGATAACTTAAATAAAATTTTTATTGTTTCATGATAACTAAGAAAGAATAAATAAGAAAAATTATTTATAATTTATATAAAATTGCGCATAATTTATATTTCAATGTTATTCTTTAGGTCGTCGCAACGAGTATGTTATACGGTCCAGACGCTTATTTTACATCAGGTTGGAATATTATGGACGGATCTCTCGTTATTATTTCTATAATTGATTTATCGATGTCATTGCTCTCGTCTAGTAGCCCCAGAATATTTGGCATTTTAAGGGTAAGATTGTCATTCTTATTAACAAGTATCTGTGTTTTTTAATCCTCTCTAGAACAACAATTCTGATTAAACAAATAGTATTAAAATATTTATTCGGGTAAATACTATCCTCATGAAAATTAATGTTTAACGTTATTTGATAATATAAATGTAACCTTGAGACTAAATTATAATAATAAGTAGATTAAATTTTGTTAAATTTTGTTAAATTTAATGTTGATATTTTTCTCTAATATATATTTTTATCTAATATTTTTCTCAATTATTTCTGTAAAAAAAATATAGGTATTTAGACTACTGAGATCACTGAGACCTTTGCGTGTCATCAATCGTGCACCTGGCTTAAAGCTGGTCGTCCAGACACTGCTGTCTTCATTACGACCCATCGGCAACATTGTTCTCATATGTTGCACGTTTTTCGTGATCTTTGGTATTCTCGGGGTGCAGCTATTTAAGGGTGCGTTCTATTATTGCGAAGGTCCCGATATCAAGAATGTACGCAATAAAACGGATTGTTTGGCCGATAAGCGAAACATGTGGCTCAACAGAAAGTACAATTTTGACGATCTTGGTAAAGCTCTTATGTCATTATTTGTTTTATCGTCGCGAGATGGATGGGTAAACATCATGTATACTGGTCTAGACGCTGTCGGGGTCGATCAGCAGGTAAGAAAATTATAGCGAATGAGTAAATATTTTTTAACAATACCTTCCTGTCAATTGATCGCAAAGATATTTTTCCACAATATGTTATAATTTAGATATGCAGTTTTAATTTGCAGTATGATAGCCTTCAAAGGGTGATGCTTTATTTATTTTTTAGTGTCGCTTTATTTATATAATTTATTTTTATATTTATAACACATATAACTGAATCCCCAAGTACTCACATAATTTCCAACTAAATGATTGTAGCCTATCGAAAATTACTCTGAGTGGCGATTATTGTATTTCATCGCGTTCATATTGCTGGTGGGTTTCTTCGTGCTGAATATGTTCGTCGGAGTGGTGGTCGAGAATTTTCATAGATGCCGTGAAGAACAGGAGAAAGAAGAACGCGTGCGAAGAGCGGCTAAGCGCGCGTTGCAAATGGAGAAAAAGAGACGAAGTGAGTGGCCGCTCGGTCAACTAGGTTGCCACTTCTACATCACGCCAAGCAGATTACGAGTTAAGAGACACCGATGTGTATGCAATAATGATAATTTTCAGAAATGCACGAGCCGCCGTATTACACCCACTATTCTAAGGCGCGGCTGTTCGTCCACAACGTCGTAACATCCAAGTACTTCGACCTGGCGATCGCCGCCGTTATCGGTCTCAATGTCGTTACGATGGCGATGGAGTTTTACATGATGCCGAAAGCGCTCACTTACGCACTGAAGATCTTTAATTATTTCTTCACCGCAGTTTTCATTCTCGAATCCTTAATGAAACTTGTCGCCCTCGGCATACAGCTTTATCTAAAAGACAAGTAAACAGCCTAATTTCTTTTCAGTATTTTTATTAACACGTTTATCAAGAATCACGCCGTTGGTTGTAAAATAAGTAGACCAATAATATAGTCCGTAAGAAAAAAACAGTCCTAATGGCGTTCTTCTTGAAGGTGGAACCAATTAGACGTGGGAATAGTAATACTGTCAGTGGTCGGCATCGTGTTAGAGGAGGTCGAATCTAAGATTATCCCCATTAATCCCACGATAATTCGCGTAATGCGAGTGTTGCGAATAGCCCGGGTGTTGAAGCTCTTGAAAATGGCAAAGGGCATACGTGCCCTTTTGGACACGGTGATGCAGGCGTTACCACAAGTCGGAAATCTGGGGCTGTTATTTTTTTTACTTTTCTTTATATTTGCCGCGCTAGGGGTGGAACTTTTCGGTCGACTAGGTAATTGATATTACGATATGAATTTAAATTTAGTTTTTAGGTGACCATGAAAATAGGAAATAGCTGGAATTTTGTAATTGCCTGCGTCCGATTTGGGCGCTCACACGCGCTGTACGCTTTATTCTATCATTTATTACATGCAGAAGGAAGAAGAATGAAGCTTACAGCGCGTAATCGCCCAAATCGAACGCAGCTATTGAACAATGTTAATTTTTCACCGCAGAATGCAATGATGATATGCCTTGCCAAGGTCTTGGCGAGCACGCGCACTTTAGTAACTTTGGCATGGCCTTTTTGACGCTTTTCCGGGTCGCCACTGGTGACAATTGGAATGGAATCATGAAGGACACGCTAAGGGACGATTGCGATGATGCGGCGGACTGTGTTAAAAATTGTTGCGTGAGCAGTATCATCGCACCAATATTTTTTGTGATTTTTGTTTTGATGGCACAATTTGTACTGGTGAACGTCGTCGTCGCTGTGCTAATGAAACATTTGGAAGAAAGTCACAAACAGGTGACGTTTTCAGATAATTTTATATAATAAATTCTTTTTACTTTATTTCGACTACAAAGATACGTGTGATAATTTAATTTCAGATGGAAGACGAGCTGGATATGGAAACACAATTGGAGAGAGAATTAGCTGCGGAACAGGAAGAACTTCTTGACGAGGAAGATGAGGATGACATAGTGATGAATGGCAGAATAAATGGCGACGAAGATGACGATGAAGATTATAAAGAACACGAGTCAATGGTGGTAAATGAAAAAATACACGTAAGACCAGGATTGGCTAAAGTTCGGTCTTTACCTGCGAATTTTATTTACAATCCACCGAGGGAGAGAAACATCGATGGTAAGAGTATTACTCTAATAAGTAAATTGAAAGAATTGCACAATAATGAAGTCGAAGAATAAGTTGACAAAAATTTCCCAATAATTACTCTAAAATAATTCGCTATATAATACAGTTTTGTCAGAAATTTTGCAAAATTTCCAAGTAATATTTAAAATTCGATAAATATTAAAAATTCGACAAATCCAATTTGAGATATAAATATTTTTTATAATCATTTTAAAAAACGTTTAATTCTTTTCTTAAAATTATGCCACGCTGAATAAGTAATATTTTATGTTGCAATATTTCTACATTTATTTTATAATATCCCAATTGCAGATTTTGTCATATATAATTTTATAAATCTTTTCCTATCGGAATAAGAGAGTTATTAACTATTTACAGAGGAGAGAAAGAGAGAGAGAGAGAGAGAAATTCATTATTGTAATATTACGATATTATATCTTCCATTCATTATGTCTCATTATATAAGAATTATCTTATGTATTTTTTAGATGCCTCGATTTCCATATCCTTGGACGAAAAACGTCGCGGTTCGAGTTCGAGACCGTCCAAGTTTAAGTCAAGACGCCGGCAAACATTCCACTCGAGCCATCATCAACGAAGGTCATTGCTGCCAATGCACTTTGAGGTCGCCGAAGTTTTTGAGAAACCCGTGAGTAACCTGAGCGTACCTCGAATTATTCCACATCGCAGCTACGCCACAACTAGTCAAGATGTCAATCGAGTACAACGTCAGAAGTTGCCGGTAAGGATTCATATTTCGATGTCAGATTTTGAGTAAGAAGTAGCACACATCAGTTAATTATAAATTATTATAAATGAAGAATCAAAATATATTGTTTACTCATTTAATTTAACGAATAAATTTTTTTATTTGCTGCTTTATTATCTACCTATAGCAGGAAAATAATGTAACACGAGAATGGTTCAAATATGACTTTTTTTGTATAAATACATATCAATGTTGGTAAACGAATTTATACTGGATGACACGTGGAGATGTCTGCTCATGTTCTGCATAGATGTAGCTTCGCAACAGTTGTTTTTGTAGTCATTATTATACCGTCCAAACAAATAGTATCGAGTATAGTTATTGTTCAAGTTCATAGCATCAAGAGATGCTATCGATCTATCTATATAATATAGTCAACATCAATTTTACAGGTGACCACTAGTGAAATGCGTGAAAATAAATCTCTGTTAACCGTAAGCAAACCGCCGACCACCCCCTCATTGGTCACATCCCCCGGCTCGAGCAGCACCCTAAGTGTCCCGCCAAAATTGACCAGCGATCGTTACCTCATGCCAACCACCGAGATTTACCCGTCCAAGGCGACAATGAGCCGCCGGACATCGAGCGACACACAATCACCGACGCCATCGGATACGACGAGTGCGAGCGCCGGTACTAGCAGTACGCGAACGCCCAGCATCGCGAATGGCTATGTCGGTGGCAAAGCTCGATTGGAGGAACCAAAGAAGAAGATGATAGAAGAGAGAAGACGCCCAACAACAACGACGGTGCCGACGCCACCCCAAGAAGACCTTGATGTGCAGTCTGTTATCAACGAGAGGAGGCCGTCCAAATTGAAAACGCATGATGCTGGCGCGTCCACCACAACCAGCATCGCCAGCGATCAGTACAGCGCGATGATCCGCGGCGAGGGTTACAGCCATATTTATGTCACCACCGAGGAAAGATCCGACGAAATCCCTTCGCCGTGCGGCAACGCGAGTGAGAGTACAGGTACCGGTAGCCTGAGCGTCGCCGGCAGTCTCAGCGCCGTCGCCAGTATCAGCGTCGCCATGAGTGCTAGTGCAGCTGGTAGCATCAGCAACGGTAGTTGCAATGGTAGCGGCAGCCGAAGTGGCAACGGCAGTGGCAACGACGATGGAGTGCACATCGGCGAGGGCGGCGCCATCGGATCTGACGTGAGAATATACGTCGACGACACAGACTCGGCGAGCAGCAGCAATGGACAACGGCGCGGTGGCAGATTGCGTGACGACGAAATCCAGGACGTCTCGACCACCATCTCCTCTACTACGACGATGAGAAATGGTAGAGGCAGTGGCGATACGGACGAAAGCAAGGAGATACCCGAGAGACCGTCCTCCACCGGTGGATCGTTGGATCCGCCCTCTTAATCCAGGGCGAACGAGCCGATGTAGTCTCTAGTTGTACGTACGAGATGTTTCCAAGGGATGAAACATAGTACACACGTGTTATACATATGGTATACACTGCACGGTGGAAAAACATTATGGTGGAAGATCGCGGGAGGGATTTAAGAAAGGGCTCTAAGAAAGACTGTAGTGCATGACAATATAGTCGTTATATTATAGTCTCTTCGCCGCCGTGAACTTGCCAAAACGAACAAGTCGAGCATTTAGAGGGAGATTGAACTTTCCGGGAGAAAGAACGAGAGAGAGAGAGAGAGAGAGAGAGAGAGAGAGAGAGAGAGAGTATGAAAAGAATATTCTGTGCATCGTGTAAATGAGATACGATCACGCGAACGGCATGATATAATTAGGAAAATCTATTCTGTGTAGCGCAAAACAGCTACACAAAACGCGCGACGTGCGCGTATCACATAACTTGAAAACCTATGACAATCTCTTATTGCCAACGGAACTAATTTCGTTGTTCCGTTTCCGAAACGTCAATGGAAGTCGATTCGTAGGAATTGGTAGGAAGAAGAACGACGTAGACCGCGTCGATAAAAATTAGAAAGAGAGAAAGAGAGAATTTTAGTAGTTTATAACTAGATCTTATGTCGAGTACGCGACAAAACTGCAATTAATTGGACCACACTGTCTCGCCTTTCCTTATTCTCTAACTCTTGAAAATTACGCGAGGTTCGCCGATTGGAAATCAAAGATGTCTACAATCGATCGATGTGGATTGTGTTTTTGTAATTGGATCGATTATAACGGGAATGATAATTAATCGGCAAAATTGGACTGATGTAATTTTTTTGCGATTATACATACATGTGCCTGGTCTTTTAACTATAGAATAATCTACTAGAATAATCATATTTATATAAATTCAATTTTATCTAGTTTAAAAAGGATATGACAATTGTTATTAGTCTTGCATGAGAGTACAGAAATAATATAGAAAGTACAGAGACTTTGATTTTCACAATTAATTTTTTAAACCAGAATCAAAGATCGATCAATTGTGACGATTATTGGACAATCGGCGTTCGAGAATCGTGATTTATCTTCGTTTCGTTCACTTCACTTCACTCTTTTCACACATTAGAGCGTTCTTCTCGTTGACATCTGTGATATACTTTAATCGTAGTGTATTTCCTAACGGTAACAGCAAATATCAGAATGAAATCGTAACATCAGCAGCAACAACAGCAGCAGCAAGCAACAGTAACAATTTAAGAATGGTAGCTGACTTTTTAATAAAACGAAAACCAATGTTTCAGTGGTTTTCGTGGGATAAAAATAGAGAGACAAAACAGAAATAAATAGGAACTCTATACTGTACATACATACACCTACGAATATTCTATACTCTACACTTGGTGTGGTTTATTTTGATACTACCGCGTGCGGTAATATATTTAACGATTGTCGTTAATATATTTAACGAAGTAAATCTAACAAAAAAAAAGAAATAAGAATAAATAACTCTATGCCTTTTACGAGCGTTGACGAACCTTCGTGCGGTGGTGGTGCCCGCGTTCTTTTCTTTTCAGCTGCAAAAGGGCGACCGACGACTCCAACCACCCTTTGTCATGTCGAAGGTGTAGTCGCTAAAATCATATTCAGGCGTGCCGGGCGCGTCGCATTGCTTGAAAAAAAAAAAATTAGTAGTAATCGTCGACCGATCGATCGCATGGTCGATATTACATTTCATTTAAAAAGCCTAACAAAATCTCGAGTCGCGTTTTTGCGTTGAGCTTAAGTGGAATTCCTAATCCAATGCTGATCGGAACAGTCGAACTTCATCATTGAGTCTTCGATGGAAACACTCCGGTGCACAGTGGTTCCATAGAGTTGCGCTTAACATCAGAATGGCTGAGAATTTGCTCTCTAGAAAAATAGTTTCTTAACTCGAGAAAGATTACATTATATATAGTTAAAAAATATAATATAACTCTATTATGTCTGATTTCTCGAATATCAATGATATTTTATAATGCACGATTGAACACGTGTGATCGAAATTTGCAGCGTGCCTCTCAAAGCTGAATTATACATATTACATTTTCTATACTTAATTATTTCTAAAGAGATCGACTTTCACAGATCGAGATGTTGGAAATTACTGTTATACTTCGTGTCATAATGTGAAAGAGAAAGTAAGACTTAAAACTAATATAATAGTAATTCGTGTAACTGTCTTTGCCATTCTGGTGGTAAATCTCAATTGGAAATAACGTGGCACAAAATAAATATTGCAAAAATAGACAGAAAACAACGAGCGATTCCAAACTGCTATCAGAGCATGTTGAGTCAAATCCAGATCAACGTGATCATTCAAATGAGTATGAACGAACGCGAATAAACAACGGTAGTACCGTTTGCACTTGAAGCAAGTTGTTTATTCGAGTTTGTTTGCTTGGTCTAGATCCGGCTTTATTTTAAAGAAAGAACATAGATAATCTCGTATCCATGCGCTACATGTACTCGCGTTTCTTCGGCACCACGACCGGCTCTCGATAGCTCGATAGCGTTAGACGACTGAACTCCGAATTATAGTTATTCTAGACGCGCCGATTACAGTCGTGCGCGAGTTCGCCGATCAGCTGCACACGTATCGATAGTCTGGCAGTTGCATACTGTATAAAAAAAAAAGATACATAGAAATATCGGTTCAAAAGGGTAAAGAAAAAAATAATGTTGTTACAAAATTATATGATCGTGCGTATATATACACGCATGATATGAAAAGAGGAATGTCGTATCAAAATTCGCAGCGTGCCTCTCGAGTCTGTTCTTCGCCTGTAGAGAAGGCAGTGCGTAATTGTCGAATTAATGAAAAATAGTAAAACTAAAAAAACTAAACATAACGAGGAGAAGTGGAAAACCAAGATCGGGCCGCGGCTGGCCCTCCTCTCCCCTCCCCCTCCCCCAAGATATATAACATGCTATTTTAATTACGGTAATGAGGTGTGTAACCGGTCGGTGTAGAACCGCCAGAGAGAGTCTTTTCCTGTCTGCCTGATATCCTGCGTGTATGCGCTTGATGACTGGTGAGATGCGAAACTTTGGCCTCGCTCCACCACATGAAGCCGGAGAGTACGATAAAAATGTGGGGTACGTGTGCGACGGAGAATGCATGAGGAGAGATTCGAGATAGCGGAGAGTTCGAAGGAAAAACTAAATATGTACAAATGTAATAAATCGTGCGACGATTACGTTGAACCTATTGTTTTTATTGAGCAATCACCCACTGTCCTGATTTACATTCAGCGTTTAATCGATATTGCACAGATAATATTCTTTGATATCAAATGATCGCAACTGATGCTGGTTCGGCACATCCGGTCAATCAACGAAGAGTCTGTCAATCATTACGATGATAATTTATTGTTATTATTATTATTATTAAATTCGTTGTAAATTCAATCGAGTTACATTTTATTGATGTGTCTTTTATTTGATAAAACTATTACACAAGTTGCTTTCTTACTTCCAAAGTGACAATTTAGGAAACATGATTTTCGAATTGTTTTTTTTACTATGAATGAGTTAGATAAACATTACCTTATCATTCATCGAAAGTGAGCAAACTTAATATCATAAAAAATTGTTAAAACCATACAACTATAAAGAAATAATTCTTTTAAAAATCATTAAAATCGTCACGATTAAGAGTAATTTTTTTAAGGGTTGTGAATTAAAAAATAACAAAGGTGACATTTGATCGTAATAAAATATATATATATATTTTTTACCGATATTATTTGATTGCTCAATAATTTTCTGTTACGTTGAATAAAAGTTTTTCCCTTATTCTAAAAGAACTTTTTTTATTTATGTCGCTTTTGAAGTAAGAGAACAATAATATTTTAGGAAAAATATGATTTTCGCGTACTTGATACGTTTCACTAAGTGTTCCATGCACCCGTATTCTGTAGATACATGTGTACTCTGGATTACCACTATTAGAATGTACTTTCACCTCGATTATATCGTATGCTTTTTTTCCTCGATTCTATAAACAATTTTTTTATCTCTTATGTAATTGAATACAAAAGTTAACAATTGAGAACTCCAAAGATAAATGCTAATTATATAAAAGCCTATTGTGTTCTACCTGGACCTCAAAGTATTGCAACGGCGAACCAGTATTATCATACATAAAACTGCCAAATGAGAAAGGCTTCTTATCATCCAGATCTGACAAACCCTAAAATCAATACATATAATATGCGACAGGTAGCTGTTTGAAGTACTAAATATGATATCTGTACGTTTGTACATATAACGATAAATACCGATAATATATATTTGTTTACGATATTGCAATATACAAACTATATATAATATTACACGTATAGTTGCATAATCAGCTCACCCAAACGGAAAAATCTTTTGGCGCTGTAGCAGTTTCCCCGGTAGGGGATATCAATGAAGAGATGTGTTCAAGGCTAACTCCGGACACATGCACATGGCCGAGTAATCGAATCACCACGCTGCCGCTGCTGCCCTTGAAGGCCCAGCATTCGCCCGGCAAAACGCCGGTCTGGTAAATACATTGGGATCAGAATGTCAGTGATATTAAATATAGTCAGGTAACCTGTATCATAGCCCGGGGTGTGTTCTGCTGTTGACAAAGCGGTATGCCGAATAGATTGAGCACAGGTGCACCAGTCGAGTATGGTTCGGTATCTCGTATCGAAAGAATCGCACCGCCTGTGGAAAAGACTATGTGATGGTGCGCCAAAAATGTATTCCTGGGTAGAATATAGTCATAATAGAATATAGTCATAATAACCATAGAACATTCACAACTTCACTTCACTTCATTTGTCACTTATAAATGAACTTATGATGACGTTCTTATGATATTATTATCAGAAAGAATCAATTCTCTTTGATTATTATGGCTTCTCTATGCTTTACCTAGATTATTATGCCCTCTTTTATAATCTTTTTTTATTTCAAACGACCAAAGAAATATCTATTAATGGAAATTATCAAGGAAGCTATTTATGGGAAAAAGATAATTTTGCGATTGTAAAAAAAAAATGTATTGCATATCTTTATAACTAATAAAATTGTGTGATAGTTTCTGGGAATAGTTACAAAAAGTGCAAGTTATTTTCAAGTAGACTAAAAAAAAGAAATAAAAAGGCCACTTGTGCCTTTGTATGTAAGTATTCTACTTACGCATGAAATTGTTAGCAGGTCGCAGCAGAGCGCCCTTTAATTAACATGTCCTGTATAAAAAAAAACTATATAAAAATAGACTATTGGATAAAACCTGAACTTTCAAGAGCGTAATCCGTTCTTCCCGTTTTGTCGGCATCATATGTCTGTAATTCATTTTTCACCATATTTCTAACGGTCTCCGGTGACAAAGCTTTCAGCAAATTCTTCGTGTGCAGACTCATTTCTGTTGTAACGCGTACTTGTGAGAAATGTTAGAAACTTGCAAAATCATTTGTTGAATAAAAAAATATAAATATAAAATAATAAAAATAAAAATATAAAAATATAATGAAATAAAATTAGACGCGCGTGAATGATACAAAGAGAAAGGCTTTCATTGCGAACGCTTACGATGTAAATAAGTATAATACATCGCTCTATTTAGTCGATATATTTGACATCAGAAAAATGCCACTGCACTAAGTGCAACATCCGGTCAACATTTATACATCGCACCTTTCTTACCCTCAGACACTTCATTCCTCAGATTGAGAATAGCTTCTGACATTTTTGGAATCACGCTGCCTACTTCCTTCAACTTGCTCTTTAGCTCATCGCGCATCTCCATTACATTCTTTACTTCTAACTAATTTTTGCAGAAACAATAAAATAAGCGTCAATTGTATCGTGTAACAATATTAAAAATATTTACTTTAGAAAAATATTGTGATAACAAATAATTACCGAGAGAGTACCCAAATGAGATCTGAGGTTTCCCAAGTCTGCCTTAATTATTTTTAATGACGCACTTGCAGAATATTTATCGCAGAGATGGGATACGGTCATCGCTAAAAATAACAGAATTCCTTGACATACAAATTAAATTTATACTAAATTTTATAAATCGATCGCATAAAGATATCAAGAAAACCGATCGAAAATTTTCATAAGTTAATTATTAAGATTTCGTACCGAGCATTGACGTAATGACGCAGAAAGCGAAAGGTTTGATGAGTTTATGATAAGAGAATCGTTGATGGCAACCTGCTGGAACACTCGGACAATTTCCTGCGTTAACGCAACAAAAGGCATTCCGCGCGCTCATTAGCGTCGTTTCATCACGTAATTATGTCTCTCAGAAAAAATACTCTTAGAAAAAACGTGCTAAGTTGATGAAATAAAATTGTTAGATATTGGCAATGCTTTTTATACGTGTTTTTGTTAGTATGTATTCAAGCTTGGATAGTCATTGACAACCGACATCGCCTGTATCTACATAATCGATATATTGCAAAAAAATGAATCATGATTTCAGGACATGTATGTAAATATACAGGGAAGAAAAAAACATGAAAACGATAAATATCAAACAGTTCTGGATGGAAAGAAAAGATTCATTCTCTTTTAATGAAATATTCAAATATATTTTGTTATTCTATTTTCATGTAATTTATTTGTAGGTGTACAAGATATGTACAAGGAATGTAGACATTGTAGACAATGCTAAAACGTGTACATATACATGATTTTCCAAGCGAGCAGTTTTTTCGAATAGTCATGCAAAAAATTGTGATCCAATTCCATTTGCAGATATTGCATACATTTTTTTAGACGGGATAGAAGAACACTCGTAATACTTGTAATTCACTTCGTATAAATTGCTATGATCTACTGCAAAATTTAGTACATTTTTTTGCAAATAAAATCTGTCGCTTTAAATAACATGATAAATTGTATATGACTGAGAATGTTCGCCTGCTTTAAAATATCTTTCATCTTAGAAATTATATTATGTATAGAATTACATTTGCAACAATATCTTATACGTAAAGCATAATACTAATAAAATAAAAAGAAAAGATTCATAAAGTTATATCTTTGGTGATCAGATCACCTTAATCTGATCTTCGTTGATCTTTATTGTTAAATAAAATAACAAGATCATGGACGATAGTAACATATACAAAATGTTACTTTTGTAGTATCCAAATATTACTTTTTTTTTTGTCGATACTAAAACTATCTCATATTGTAATATTATACGCTTAACGTCACTATATATTTTTCAGGGCGGCATGTATACGCAAATTGAGTCGAGTTTCAAAGTCATAATCTTTGTACTGAGTTTGCGCTTTTGACAAGAAATTTTTGCCTTCATTAGGATTCTAAAATATGAGACAATAAAGTAAGAAATTAATATATAGACAAAAATATAGACGATGTGTATGTTACGGTATACTTACGTTATTATTATTAAGGCTACTTCCTAATTCATACAACGCAAATGCGCTGACATGCTGGTCGTACTCGTCTTTGGACGGATACCTACATTTCAGACAGTTTCGGAAACTTTTAATAGCCGCTTCGGTGTCCCCCAGATAAAGACACGCTGCGCCATCAATAAGATCAGTCAAACCCACCATTGGTTCCTCGGAATGATTTTCCTTGCATTCTAATAATAAAGTTATATAATAAGATAATAATAATTTTTGTGCAAAGATTAACACGTTATCATAAAGTATTTAAATCGCATCTCAATTTTTCAGACGATTTCTTGATTTCCATGTTAAATTGCAATTACAAATTGCAATTTTATCGTTTACACATTTTAAAATGAATAAATAAAACGAATGATTAAAAATTAATCTAGTTCCACAAGTACAGTGACTCGTATACGAGCAACTTATAATACAGAATTGTGTAAGGATGTCCAGTTTCCTTATCAACGATTTTCGGCAGCCTGCGCATAATAAAAACATCGAGTTGCGATTCGTTTTTCGTCTCATGAAACCAAGGAAGTATCTTGCCGTACAGCGACAGGAGAACGTCAAACTTTCCGTTCGCTCCACAACAAACTGTAACATGGTATAATCTGAGTATAAAAAAAAATCTGAGTCTATTTATTCAGGCATCGGGGTAATAAGTTACCCATGGCTAAGTACGCGTAGAAGCCCTTGGACCACCTCGACTGCTGCTGCAACTGCAATAAGGATCGATACGCTTCATCGTAGTTCAAGCGTATCACGTGGCACCAAGCCACCTCGTGTAAACACAATAGTTTGACTTCCCTCTGAGTTGCAACTTCCACTGCTTTACCGAACGCTTCTAGAGCTGCATCGACGTTTGTCTACGAAACGATTGAATCATGCAATAATGGATAATATTATATTAAAGTCGAAATATATAGAATTGAGAATTTACTCTGTTGATACCAACTTATGAAATTTTAACTTATTAACTTATAAAAGTAATAAAATATCTATATTATAATTTCTCATTCAACAATGTAACTGTTATGTATCATGTTTACTATGTTATATTATTTTTAGTTGGTGTCGACTGAATAGCAAATCTGATTCATTAATTGTAAGCATGATACATTTTTTTCTACTAATAACTAGATATTTAAACACATTTGAGTGCGGCATTCATAATTTATTTTATTTTAAGACTAGATGTTTGTAAATAAAAATCTTAATAATATATTTTAAAAATATGATTGAAGAGAGAGAGAGGATGAATGAGAATTAACTGTACAAAATATAAATTATAAAAGAAATTATAGAAATTATAGAAATGCTTTGATACTCAAATATTTAATCTTATTAATACCTCTTATTTAACATTATTAATACCTCTAAACGTTCCATTCTGCCAGCGAAAAAAAGAAAAAGGGCAGAATTCTGGAATTCGGTATGACATTCAGCTATCAATTGCTTCGCTGCTGCGACCCCCGCTTTTACATTCGACCCGTCCAACGCGAAGAATGGACGTACAATCGTATGATACCAAAGTAGGGATAATCTACGACAAAATAGTAGCTTATTGACTAACCGTATTATATAGAAAATTTCCCAGAATATATAATAACAAACACGGAGATTCCTTGGTGAAAAAGATTTACGAAAGACTATATAGATTGAGATAAAATCTTAAAAATTATTAATTCATAGTGAGACGTAGAGCGGTGTTGTTTCTTTGAAAAATCTACATAGAATTTTTTCTTAGAGTTTACCTTGAAAATATGATAGTTGGGACAACATTGTATTTCCAAGAATTTTAATGTAAACCTCTCTCATTCATTAATAAAACTACAATAAAGTATAAAATAAGTTTAATTTTACTGAAGTGCATGATAAAAATCTTGAAAGTATTATATTGTACCACAACTACTATATTTTAAAACAAAATTCTCTCCTTATAGAAATCCTCTGCTCTCAAACAACATTATTCTACGTCCCATTACGAATATCCACGAAAAATTAAGAATTTCTAAGATCTTGTCTCAATCTATGTAGTTTTTCTGTATTCTGTGTACTTTTTCGTAAAAATTTTTTTTCATCAGAGTTAATATAAACGAGAGTCAGTACAATTATAGAAAAAAAATTCGATATAAAAAAAGATAGTATTAAATACCATGCTTTTAAGGTACTAAATATTTTATGCAAGTATTTAATTATTCTAGTTTGTAAAAAAATATACATAAGGGAAAACATTCGAAATCCATAATACACTCACGTAGCGAGCGGTGCGCGCATATCTTCGCCAAGTCGTGCGTACATAAGAGCAGCAAGACCAGACTGTCTGTTACCCTCGAAGCCGAAGAAGTGAATCACTTTCAGTACAGATGGTGGCAAAAGACTCACACACAGTTGGTATACACCGTAACCGAAACTTGCGGCCGACATTAAACGTGTCACCTCCGAAGGTTCCACAAAGCTGCGAAATATATTCTGCTTAATTATTATTTTTAAGCGCACGACCTGCGCGAGCATAAACTGTGTGAGCGAGGGAAGAAAAAAAGCAAAGTGATCAAAGCTAACTACAAATTTCACTTTCGCGAAGCGAATGTATGAAGCAGTGTGTGTTTATCAAAATTACAAATCATGTTGACGTGATCGGAAATCCAATCGAGCATTCCGTGAAATGTGTCAATAGGTGCCAACATGCAGTGCCTTTCTCTTGTGAGAGGAGAGGATGATGGGCAAAGGACGAAAGGAGACGAGAATTTTTGAGTAAGAAGAAACAACAATTACGGTGTCTGTTGTTCAGATGTGATGCCAGTGAGCGAGAAGAACATTGATAGAGAGCTTCGCAGACCTGATGGTGACGACACGGGTGTCATGTTCGTATAACCGTTGCAGGATGGTATCGACCATTCCGAAGATTCCGGGCTCTGCGGACTCTGCAGAGATGACCCGTTGCTCGGATTGATACAACATGGGCTGAATCCTGTAAAAACGTTGAATATATTTATGGAATATATCTGTTAAAAGCGCTCCATTAATTTATATATAAAAATGATAAAAAAAACAATCGTATAAGAATTAATTATTTATCGAATTCTTATTAATCCTTTAGATTTCATTTAATAAAACTACAGCTGTTATGATTAAATATTGTTTATTTACAAATCTCACAAAGTTGCTACGATCGAAATTGTAATTTGCTGATCTTTCTAATTTTATAAATCTTATCAGTGTAAGTCACGCACCAGTCGGATTTGTACCGAAGGTGCGACGATATAATTGCGAGATTTGAGTGTACGCGTGTTGATAAACACGCCAAGCTTTGCGAAGCATCCAGCAGCCACGAACGTATCCAGTTAACTCTTGTTGAAGAAACAATGACACAGCCGAGAACACTTGCGTATCTGCTAGAACTATTTGACGCTCTAATTTATTCACATAGTCCTTCTGAAATTAATTTCATAATTATTTCTTTTTTTTATTGATCTAATCGTTTCGTGAGTTTATTAACATGATTATAAGCATTTTATGTTATGACACCTGATACTTCATTGTATCAATGTATTGTATCGATAATCAAAATTTATCGAATGACACAATGCTGATTTAAGTTAAAGTCTCGATACTATACCCAGCAAACACTAATTAATATTAACACAAGTATTAGTTACAATTTCCTACTAATATAATACTAATATAATTGTAATATAATGTGTATATCGTTAAGTGAGAAATGATAACTAACAATTATATGTTAATATTAGTTGATGTTTACTGAATACAAGAATTGTATTTTATATGAATTTTAGTTTTTATTATTACGATCAATGATAATCGCCATGCTTGCATCTGATACCAGATATAAATTAGAAAATTAGAACTAAATAAAATTATAATAAGTTAGAACAAGATCGTTATATGAATAAATCAACTAGTAAAAACTGGTTAGACGTTGGAATAATAATTCTATATGTAATTTATTTTAAATATATTTAGTTCAAATATATGTATGACTATAACGCATCAATTACTTTCGCACCAATTAATTTGCAATACATTTAATATTGTCGCAATAATTAATATGTATGTATAAAAAGAGATACTTTGATGGCAAGCATAAACAATATAAAATATTATATTAATAATCCTGCTGAGAAAACTCACATCAGTTTCTTCAGCTCTAAACACTTTACTTTTTACAGACTTCAACCATCCTATATCGCCCGCACATTCCCGTTCCATATCTTTAAGTAATAATGTGGCTTGCTGAAACTTGTCCTCTTCGAAAGTCATCAGGGCATTCTACACAATTCATCAAATGCATTAAAAATTACTATCAATTATAGGCGTTAAAATATTCAAGGTGTGCATCATGTATTTGTTATAAAGATTATCAAAGCAAAACGCGCTCATTGTCTCATGATTTTATTATACCGTAACGGAATTGTAGATTACCAATTTTACTTGATTCGTCTGATACGGGGTGGAATCAATCGATTTTATATTTTTCGATGCACGAACGTAATGTTCGCAGTTTATTATTAAAACCTATTAAAGTAACAACATTCTTTCGCGGCCTTGAGAGTTAAACGTACTTCGTCAGAATGCAGTGGAATCGATATGGCTCATCACGCGATTACGTACCATGAAGAGAACAAAACAACGGCCTGCTTTGACATGGAAGCTATGAGGATGCTCGGTAAATAAAGCTTCGGCTTCCTCAGTTTTGTTATTCAGCAGCAGAGAGATGCCGGTCCTGGCGATTTTCCAGTCCTTCATCGCGTCTTTCGCCATAACTGTGTTGTTCCCGTGAAAAAAACTTCAAAAAGCTACTCGAATAAAATCTTTCTCTCGAGACTGTCGGTTACGTGTTCGTCAAATGGAAAGCATCTTTCCACTATGCGGGATTGTCAGACGATAGTTTACATCAAGGTCACTTATTCGTACGAACATACTGATGATTGTTGATTTATTGCTGCTTTAAAAGAGAAGTTCAACGGTCGGAAAAATATATATACATGGTACGTGGAATGTATCCTGTACATTTACATCACAAAAGTGCCGCGTTGCGACATCATCACTGATCGATGTGCGATGCATCCTTACCGCATTTTCTCCTTGGATAAGCCGCAAAGCAGGAAGAGCTATTTTTAAAATCGTATATTTAAAATCGTTTCATATTTAAAATCTAATTTTGCTTATCCCGGAATTTTTTCGATGTAACGCAGCAAATTGAATCACTAGGATAAACCTACCATTCGCATACGATGCGATTATCTCGATTAGATGCAGATATTTGATCTGATTAAGCAATCAAGTCGCTTATGCAGTTGTTATATAAGATCTGTCGTCATATATGATTCAATCTCTATTGATGCATTCATTTCTCTCTTCTGAATTGTTTTAAAATTAATTTATGTATGGAGCAATGAACAGTTGGAATTTTTCGCTGAGTGTGCTGTTCCTCGAGATCTTTGATATAAGATCTTAGAACCGAGTTTTATTCTGCGAGTTTTATCTGAATGCAAATACTGATTGCAGGAAAGATCATTTAACGATGCAAAATCTCAATGTCGCTTCCGTTTCTTACAAAATTTCGATAATTATCCGACACTGGCATACTACCGAAGTAGTGTCACTTTTCGAAAAACTGTGAACGAACATTGTGTAACAAATGCACGCGAATTCCGGCACATTCTCAAGCTGCGAACCGTATCCTTGCCGTGCATCGGGTTGACTAAACTCTGCTGAAGAAACGCAGTGCTGCTGCCACCACCTCCAGACTGGAGATATACTTGTATTATTGATTTTGGCATAGAAGTGCATATTGTAACTCGGAGCGCGCGCGGTAAGCACAATGAGAAAAAGAGAAAAAAAATATATTATACGTAAAAAGTTCGAAGGATGTAAAAACATAAAAAATTTGAGACATAAGGATCTTTTCACGCGGTTTTGTTGTGTTTCTAATATTTGCTTGAATTATAATTTTCTAAATATCAAAGCATTATTTCAACATGACACAATAAAAACACATAATATAAGTAATGTATCTCATATATTCCCGTATTTTTTAACACAATTGCAAATTTATATACGAAACAATAGAATTATATAATTTCAGTATATAGAGTCGTGCATATACATGTATTTACAATTGTAATCCGGCATTTAATGAGAATGTCAATGAAAATAAAATTTGTACTCTGGAGTTCCAAATGTAGCAGTAAATCAAAGGAACGGTTTTAACTTTTTAGTAATTTTATCTCGTTGTAGAAACTTAAGACTATGTATTCTGTACATTTATTTACAATTTTTATTAAATAATTAACAACTACCCCTAAGGGTCATATAAATTCCAGTCCTTCAAATTTTTTATCCATTATTTTACTTTCGGGCATTATTATCGTTCCTTCTATCGTAAAGGCCATGATATATGTAGCGGTCCGTCCTTGATATTCCTCAGTCTTTAAAGCTATTATAATGGAATCTTGCGAGCCAGGAAGAAACTTGAAACTCGAAAAACCTCTGATTGGGATTAGATCTCCGATATAAGTAACCTATAATGAATTTCATATAATTATAACTATTTATCAAAATACTAATATTTGATGTAAAAACGCACTTTAATATCAACAAAGTTTTCGTCTGCAGTCAACATGATATTGCAGCTCATTGTTTCATCCCGTGTTTCATTATAACGTTCATAGGAACATCTTCTAGGCAAGAAGAACCAGCTCTTATGTATATCACTCCAAGTTCCAGATTCATGTATCATGTAACCTACGCAAAGTATACGTATGATAAATTAATTCGTGCATTCACAAATTATAAGTATCAGCATACCTGGATAGTCGATGTTAATCGCTTGCCTTAATCGTTTGTAGTAAGAAATCCAATTGAGGGAATGCGTTTCGCCACGTGGTGACACTACTTTAACCCATAACGGATTATTATGTTCAAATTCACCAGACGGTGTGGTCCATTCCTTTCCCATGCTGCCAATATATAATTGTTCATCTTTGATAGTCGCCCACTCGGATTTAAAGCCTACATGTAAATATAAAAGTTTAGTAAGAAAAATATCCTCAATAAAATAACATTATCATCAGTGTTATATTTTTTACTTAACAATATAATTGTTACAATGTTTATATTACATTTATATTATTGATTATAATATTAATGTCATGAAAATTATAATATTAATGTCATGTTACTGTTAATTTATATTTAATGTTATGAGTCTTGCAATTTCTAGAAACAATGACAATATCAAATTATATAACGAATTCAATCACTTTGCATTATACTAGATTAATGCATACTACAAGCTGCTATGCATGAAGTTAAAGTTAAGTATAAAAGTATATGAATATTTTAAACGATTAAATAATGACACTCACGTTATTTAATAGAACATACATGTATTATTTCATTGTCAAATGTACATTTCTATCAATGCAGTTTAATTTTAATCTTGATTCACCTAACTCTTTAACTATATTTTTCTAAGAATTAAAAAAAGGTGAAGAGCAAGTTGTACTAAGATTAATCTACACTAACAGAAACAAGCAAAAGTTATATCACTGCATTTAGATACTTTATATGAAACAAGCTAATGTGTATTCAGTGTACGAGTGACTGAACTCAATAATAGTTTACTAAGCAGCCTACCTTTGTGATTTTTACCATTCCCATCCATCAAAATAACCCAAGGATAAGCTTGATCACCTTCGATGAAATATATCATCCCTGTACGATCATCGAAGGACAGCAGACGGCCGTCAAAAGTCACTAATTCCGACAGCTCCATTCCGCGTCCTTTCATAGACAACGATGAGGACAGTACGACAATTTTGTCATCCCATATAACAGATAGAAAATTGCTGTTGGGATTCCAATAGAGATTGCCGGTCCTCATAAGACTATGCCATGTGTCTTTCTTGTCCACAAGCTTGGAGTCGTGATCGAGATCGCTCACTATCGCTATTCTGTAGGTAATGCCCTTGGAGGTTTTGATGGGTGTCGAGGTAGGGTACGTTCGGTTGTACTTGTAGTAACGACATTGTGCCAGGGTCTGGCTCGGCGGCGAGCATATGAAGCCGTGCAGCAGCGGATACAGGAGGAAGAAAGTCGGCACGCTCAGAACCAGAAGAATCAACGCCACGAACGGGCCCTGGATGCGAAATGTGCTGTTCGCCACCCGATAGACGTGCGGGGCGCGCAACGCCTGTCGCCAGTCACGCAGATACGACATGGTTATGATCGCCCTGCCGTTCTTCAACCTCGCTACACGTCGTATCAAAGACGTGGCATGTGTCAGTCCGTTGATGTATTTGATGATGTAAACCTAACCTAAACGCACCATCTCCGCGTTGCGGTGACAATAGCAGCATTATCGTCGCACTGCACGACGGGGCGTCAACCTAACCTGACTTGACCATACATGTGACTGATGATGTAATAAAAGTTCACTCTCTCTGTCTCTCTCCGATAATTCTAGAATCGTCTTTATTACACACAGTGCTTCCCAATATAATACGCACGATTCAAGGATCAAAACACGCAAAAAGCAACGATGGCAGGTTAAACCATAGAAATCGTTGCCAAAAGTCGAGAGACAAGCCGTACGAGCCAATCCGCGAAGTGTGTCAAAAAAGAATCGAAGGGAAATATATGAAACATTTCTTGAATTATATATATGGGGATGGATTTTTGTTCCTAATGTAATTAATTATTTGTTCTTGATATTTATACTTTTGTCTATGTGTTTAATGAACTGTTATGGTTTTGTTATGGTTTTTTACGTTAGAATAGTTAGAATCCTGATGAAAATAAAAGTTGGAGCGTAAATCGGATGAAATGGGAGAGTAACAGAAGCGTAAACAAAACTTCTAGAAGGCGAAAATTGAAACATTGAAATGTAAAAGAAGTATTTACGCTTCTGTTTTTTATATTTGACGCTCTAATTTTTATTTTCATCAGGAAAGCATTCCAAAAGTAATTTAAAAGTAATTTAAAATGTACTCATTTGAAATGTCAATAAAGATTAATATCTGCAGTTATCATGAAATACTTTTAGAGATGATTGCACTTCAAATTGATCAGGACTGGTAATCTTATATAATTATTCTTCTAAAGAAAAATGAATAAATTTATTATTGAAGGAAATCTGAAATTTTGAATAAGCGTGGGAATAGTTAGAAGGTAAATTTTTAAGTAATTTATAAAAATTTGAAATTGTCTAAATAATCGTAAATAAATAAATAAGTTTAAAATTAATATCACATCTGTATTGACTGTATAAATATCTCTATTCAGGAATATGTGTGATAAAAAAAATATATATTTTTAGTAATAAATAGATAAATTTTAAAACAAAGTAGAAATGAAATAAAAAATTAGAAATATTCAACTTAATGATTTATTTACTAATTATTATTTTAAACATATATTTTATTACGTTACCTTAACAAGATGCTGTGACAAAATTTTCGGCTGTCCTAAGAAAACATCGTTTATGCAACTACAGTTACATTAATCAAGTAAATAACGTAACAAAAGTCGTATTTTGGTTATAGAAATATGATGTAAAAAGAATAACGTATAACTACAATTTAAAAATTGCAAATATATAGTACAAGTTTTAGAAATTTAGATAATTAATATTAGAAATATTAATATTAAATTAAAAATATTTAAACATTTATTACAATATTAATGATATTCATATTATATAAATAAATATATATTATTCGATACTTCGATCTCTCAACATGTCGGATCTCCGCAATTACGGTGAAAGCGCATCACTAGGGGTCCATTAATTAGCGTCGCGTCGGCGAGCGTAACGACGCCGGGCGCGCGTGCACTTTCGAATCGTCGGCATGGGGTCGGACCGACGAACTACGTTGGCGAAATGAATCCGATGGGGGCGTCGGTAGATAGCAGGGGGGAGAGACGTTGGGGATGAATCGGCGAGGGTGGCAAGACTTGCAGTCAGTCGCGTCACGCGTTTTCCGTCGACAGCGTCGGACAGCGTTGTCGTGTTCGCGCGGCTATAAAAATCAGGCTCTCTGTCGCGGCAATCTTCGGCTCCGATTTCATTTCCGAGAAATAGCACGCCGTTTTTCGCGCCGTCACGTGTACAGGTGCGACCCCCTTCCCCCCCACTCTGGGGCACCATCGTGCGCGCTCGACCGTAACCGGACGCGATCGGCGCCGCGTCGCGTCGCGCGGCAACCTGTATTATCGATCGCGCGAGCGCGCGTGTCTGCCGCGTGCCGCAGTCCCGCATGTCGCGTTCAAGCTGAGTGCGAGCGTGGCCGATACGGATCGCGTGTGTATGTGTATGTGTGTGTGTGTGTGAAGGAATTACTAATTTCACTCTTTCTCGCAAACCTCATCCGAGGTTTTACGCGAGCGCCGACGTGTCCGAACTGAATCTGTTGTCCGTTGAGATACGCGCCGTGTGTTTGTCTCCCGATACATCCCGACTGCGTCGTCGCGGATTCCATGCGTGATTTGAAATTGTATGTACATACCAGATGATACTACAGCCACGTGGTTGTTACTCGAGAATACGTGAGATCTGTTCGCGTTGTTTAAAATCACGAAAAATGTTTGTACCTAAAGTGGGATAAATGTATATTCGGCCGTTGAAAAAAGAAAAATCGAAGGTATAAAAAGTGTAATGTAAACAGACCTACAGTTCCACACACAACGACCTATCGGCGTGGATGCTATCGAAGTGAATACTTCTATCTGTTACTCGTTAATTTTAGCGACAGCCAAAATAGTTTTCGTTATCCACGTCAATATTCTTGCCTCGCAAATAAAACGCTGCAGCGGTAAATGTTGTGCACACAAATATTTTCGTAAAAATCAGAGTATCATGAAAAAATCAAGAGACGAGAAGTTAGCCTAATTCGATCTACGTTTCAATTTTTAATATCACGTGATCACGGCGGGAGCATCTTGAACGTGTCACGTGATCCAGCCGACGAACTGAACTCTGTCGCGTGCCGGCCGGCAGTCCGTCCGCGGCGACGTTCATTTTTTATGGTTTTCGATGCGATTTTCGCGCGTGTGTTGCATCGTCTGCATCGTCTGCGTCGTCGAAATCACGCGACTCCGCATTCCGGGATTGCCTGGCGTTGAATGTGTTTGTGAATTGCGTTCGTTCAAACGCAATTGTGGACTTCGCTCGTCGTACCAGCTCGCAGCCGCACATAATTTCGAAATACGCCGCCAGCGAGATGCGAGGTTATGACGCTGCATTCGAGGATGCACATACCTTGTCGCACCTGTTCGTTTCTGGATTATCTCGTCAGCGGCGGATGATCTTTGCTGATCTTACGAAAGGTAAAACACTCGAATATATAATTAACTTTGATGCACTCAGGTGAAAAATTTTCTTTAAATTATTATGCGCATTTTTTAAAATAATTTTCAAAAATAAGTTGTGAGAAAGTTTACATCATTTCTTAGAATTTTCGATATATGTGTATTCTATTCTCTAAATTCTCTGGAGTGACTTCTCACTCTATAAAAGGTGAAAAAGGCTTCAGAGTGATATTTATTAAAAAAATTATAGAGTGAGAATGCTCTAAAATTTCTAAGATTTTTTTATTCTATAATTTCTGAAAAACGTTAAACTTTTTCTGATTTTATAAGATTCCATCAGAAATTATTTATAAATCTAAAAATAATGTATTTTAATAATGTAAATAATAAATTCATAGTATATGTAAAGAATTCTGGAAAAATTATGTATGTAAACTTTTTCAATATTTTTCTAAAAAGTATTCCAATTTAAAAAATCTAAGCAAATTTCTAAAGAATTATAAAATTATTCAGAAACTCTAAAAAATTCTAAAATTTATATAAAAATTTTGAAAAATTTTATAGAAATTTTGAGAAAAATTTTTACCAGAGTAATCATGAACATTTTAAATGTTGGATAAACAGCGTTCGAAACAGCAATATAATTTTAATAGCTCTTGACTTCGTTATTAGCATTGATATGTAAAAGTCATTTTGACGCTTATCATTTACGATAGGAATACACATATAACGTGTGATATAATGTATATCATATGAGTATGCGTGAAATAAATTTTTCTTATCACGCGAGACATAAATAATTGAAATTATATCAATTTCTATTAAAGATTACGCCAACATGGGCGCGAGAAAACATGGACTGAGAAAGTCATTAAATAGAAGGCATTGTTTTGAAAAAAAATTTTAAAGTGATTACAGCATGTGATTAACAATTGATAAGATTAGAATTTAAATAGTTTGTAAAATTAAATAAAAAATGTTAATTAATTCTTTGCAATTTCTCATAACATTTTTTCTTTAATCATTAATCGTTTTGAATACCTACATTTAATAATGATGGTACTTTATACGAAATAATAAATGAGAATCTCTTGACTGAAAATTTATTCTGCCTTTCTCTTATACATATGTATGATAAAATTTGCGTATTTTTTAACTCTACTATCTCTTGCTGTTGTTTATCACAGATACAGCTGAAGCACTTTATAAAACGAAATGATTTGATGACATTTCATTCAGAAGTGGATTTTGTAATTTTTTCTGGAATGGAAACGTAAAAAGTGATCATTTTTAAATGTATGTGTGTGTGTGTGTGTGTGTGTGTGTGTGTGTGTGTGTGTGTGTGTGTGTGTGTATACATAAAAATATTTATTTTTCTGTTCTGTGAAAAAAATTACACAATCAATATCCAGATCACAGCTGGATTCTTTATGACAAAAACAAGTTCATTCAAAAGTATTTTAATAAACTTCGGCACTGTATTCTTTAATACGAGTAAAAATTCGAATGTATTATATTGTTTTGTGGAACACTTCTCACAACACTATATAAACCGAGCAAATATTTCAAAGAAACTACGCAGTTTGCGGATTATCTCCATGGCTTGATACATTGTTAAGTGCCAACGTTTCGTGAAAATTGCAGATTACATCAGGGCGAGAGATGCAATATTACGTTGCTTCTCGCTCTAATGAGTGAATTGCAATGTTCACGAAACGTTGGCATTTAACAATGTATCAAGCCACGGAGATAATCCGCAAATTGCATAGCTTCTTTGAAGAAAATATTCATGGAAGGAATTATAATTAAACAAGAAAATATAATTAAATGTAATATCAATATTCCTACAACTTGTTTTAGAAGAAAATGCGCTCATTTAATTTGAAATGAATTTTAACAAAGAAAATTATTTTATTTTCCTGTATGATCATACTCTTTCACATTAAAATACGGTGCCGAATATATTCTGCCACGTGGAATACAGACGTGCACTTATATGGATTCTAGTATATATAGACCTTTACGTGGATAGTACGCTCAGTAACATGGCAAGACTACTTGCCACGTCTCATATCCGAGACTGACTTTTGACGCGTCGTACAAATCTTACAAGCTTCACGGATCAGCGTTGGACGGTAATGCAACTCTATGGTAGGGTGAGTCGTAAAGAGATATGTCTGTATTGTAAGGGGAACGAGTCAAGATATCCCTGCACTTCAAGTGGAATAATGATCTAGACGGAAACATTTTACTGATTAAAAACTGCCTGAATCGTTGATTTTACAGAGACTTCTCATTTATAGAATATTATTTTGTTCATATTATTCTGTTAATTATTCTGTTTCATGTTCTATTCCAATTAAATAATCAATAAAAGAAAAATTAGGTTTCATGTTGAAAGTATTCTAGTATACTTTCGAGATTTCTTCTTGGCTAATGAAAAAAACTATTTGTCATGAAAAGTAAAATTTTTCAAACCAATCTGTTTTTCTCTCGAAACTTGTATCACATTGTAAACCGTCAATATGGAACTTTTTTCCAAGCTACTGCTTCGTGAAATCAAGGTTGATGACCTAGCGGTTGTCTCGAACAACCCTCGAGTTTTGTGCAACACATCTACGAAACATCGTCGAGACACGAAGAGAACTAGATAAGGGGAAAAGAGGGCGTGTGTTGGGGATGCGGGTGGTTTTGCGGGGGTCGAGACGCCGTGGGGTAACTCACGCGTTAACGTTCGCCCGAAACAGAGGGTGGCTCGTGTGGGCATCGAAAGAAGAGTGATAGGCGAGAGAGAGAGAGAGAGAGAGAGAGAGAGAAAGGGGCGAGGGGAAGGAATAAAGACAAAGAGAGTAAACCGGGATGTTTGGACTGCTTGGGATGCACTATGGTTATGGTTTTGTGACTATTGAACTCTGCAGTGTTTTACAGATCACTAGATTATATAGAACATCCTGTATAACTATTTATATAAACGAGAATTATTTTCTATAATTATATTGATTTTAAATAAAAATTATTTTCAAAAATTATTTTAAGAGATATTATAAATGAAGATATTGTAAATAAATGACTTCCATCATTTTCTTATCATATCGCTATTATGAACTAATTTAATTTTCTATGTCTTATTTTAATATGTTTATTAAAGTATTATATATAATAATATATCCAATTTGTAATCTGATGATTTGTAATCTGATCAATTTATATCTTATCATTCAAATTAACTACAATTTTACGCTTTTGCAATATGATATTTGATAATATCAATTAATTTAACTAATTAATTTAATGGAAATCCGATGTCTTCTTGAGGGTTCTGTATAGTTGTTCAATTATTCCATCAAATGTTACCTCAACCTGAAAATTCATATAAAAAAGTTATCAGTGCACGATGAAAATGAAAATTTAAAACTTCAGCTACGAGCTTTCAGACTTTTTATTTATAATTGGCACTTTACTTTTTATATTTTTTAATGTTAGGAATTTTAGAATCTTCAGAGATCCTTCTTGAAGAAGATCCAGAATACTGTTTTTTATACTAACATTTAAAAAATCATTCTAGAATTGTGCGATTAATTTTAATGCTAAATGCTTGATGAAGGAAAAGTTGTTGCTTAACATAAGATATTTTGGATAAGTGCGATTGCCTGTGTTTTAATGCTGTGGCATGCGTCCCATGTACACTGTGCATGCGCGAAAGTTAGCACGTTCCCAGACCCATCGATGCATTGCCATGGAAACGACATCGCTGCTGTACGTTATGCTATATCGTCACATTGTGCCGCTTTAGAACGGTAGGCTAGTTTCAAGGGCACTGCTCTATCGTGCCTTTAAGGAGTACAAGGACGATCAATATCCTCTTTGCACCCTTATTTCCATCATTCCCATCTGCCGAATATCTTCCCACATCAGCAATCACGTACGTAAACGATTACAGTATTCTCTCCAAAGTTGATTCAGAAGATCCGTTAAGCAGGATGTCGGATATTTATCTTCTATCTGCAATTTTTAAAAGAGAAAATTATACATTTCTTCATCGCTTTTAAATGTCACGATTATCTGATTTGTGTATGGAAATAAGTTAATGAATTCTATAAATGCTCAAAGCAAAAATATTCCATGGCAGCTCAATGTAATGCATTTAATAAAAAAATAATTCGACTACGCTTGACATTTCCTCGCCAGGATTGTGAAGTGAGATTACGTGCATGGCTGAAAGCCAATTGTTATGCCTAGAAGTACATACTCGTTCGTATGACAATGCAGAAAGTGTATTGGGGGGGTATTTATGCGGCGTCAAGGCGAAATCGATCGCTTTAAAAGTGGCACGGTTTAGTATGCAGCCCCTTTATATTTCAGGAAGCACGCGGAAGAGGGAGGAATGAGGAGATTCACCCGGTGACCTCGTGCCACGCACGGTAATGCTACTGGCAAACGGTGCTTCTATACCGACCATCGCCGGCGCTGTCGAGGAGGAGGAGGAGTACGCACGCAGCGAGGCAAACAGCGTGCATTACGATGGATACGTTACTGATCACACCGATCTGGCCTCGGAGGTCGATATCGACGAATCCGAGTACAGACGGGAGCTGCTTAATGATGTGAGTGTCCCGAAATCGCTAGATGCCATGATTGGAAATAAACCATTTAGTTATTTGTCATTTTTCTAATTATTTGTCAAATTAATTTGTGAAAATCATTTTTCTAATTCACATCATTTATCAATTCATAACATTTTTATCTTGTTTTTTTTTTTGAGACATGAATGAGTAGATTTTATATTAAAATATTGATAGACAATTAACTTTGTTTATATACAAGGCATCTTTTTGATATCAATTTTGATGACTATGAATATTAACATGAATTTTTATTAAATTACAGAAATGGCGAATGCTTTTCGACAAGGTGTGTATAATTACATTGCTGTAAGTTTGATGTTTATCTGTTTTTGGTGAACTAAATTTCGATTGGCCACTGTTCCAGTTTGATCCGGAGGGTTTTGGAGAGATACCGCTGGAGGACTTTCTGACAGCCTTGAGAAGCCCCGAATGGAAGGCAGAGATACCGACGAATAAACGTGACATACTTCTAACCAGGGCGAAAGAGTCGCGTGTTGGGGCAGTTACTTTCCAGGACTTCGTCAATGTGGTGAGTTTGTAATTCTATTATTGCATGCGTATGACAATTACCTTATTTCAAAAATGCGATATATGATATAATTTCTTACAATGTAATATTACACTTATAATATAATATTACATTCACGCAAAAACAATAAGATTTACTGGCGTTTGTATAATCTGAAAAACTTATATTATTAATTAAACCGTTTATTCACATTTTTGTAAAGATTGTATTTAAATTCAGAATTAAAAAAAAGATTTATATTAAAATTCTTAGAGCTGTGAGTATTGAATGATTCAGTATATGGTATGAAATACATTTATTCTTATTCTAATTTTAAGAGAAAATTTAGCTGACATTATCAGATTATATAGATTTTTATTCATTTTTTATTATTACATTTATTTTATAAAAATTTTAATATTGTCGGATGTCTAATTTGTGCACGGATGGCAAGTTTTCGGTCAAATGTGCTTCGTAAAAGCAGATGGTTCTGCAGTATGCTGTCCGCTCGACTGACAGTGAAACGCTCGCTCGATAGGGAAGAACGACATAAAATTGTTCTTTTAAATATAAAAAATTCTTTTACATGATTTCCCAGCACGTTTTTTTTTCTTAATTTGGTTTAGAGACAGAAAATATAAATTATATTAATATTGATATCAAACACTGCAATGCAACAGTATCTTATTAACAGTATTCGTTTATCTTTCGTTAACTTAATAGAGATCTATTTTGCACTACGTGTTAAATAATAACGATTTTAATAATTTAATTTTTCTACATTTCATTTCTTCAAAAGAGATAATATGCATAGTATAAACAAAATATAATAAAGCATTTTTGTTTAACAAGCATATTTATAATTGATATTTAATATATGCACATAAATATATAAATTTTATGAAAATACATAAAATAAAATTAAATGACTCCATTTTTATTCATCTTTAAAATTATTGATTGCTAAAGGAAGAAAGTACATTTCTTGTTTCGAGTAATATCATCTTATGGTCAATATAACTTTATTCTATAATAGATGGAGTCACTTTCAAGATTTGAAAGAATTTTTATTTGTATGTAAATAGAATATTTTTCTTTAATTAAACAATCTTTTTATGTATAAAATCAATAACGAAACTTGGATATTTTGCAAATTATCAAATATTTTATATTCTAAATTATTTTGGTGTATAATTTCATAGAATATTTATCTTTCCATAATCATACATCATTTTTCTATAAAATAAGAAAATTTATTGTTCAATTCTGCGAATGTTTCTGCAACATATATATTTATTTTTAAATCATATTATATCATTTTTTATATAAATTAATTTTTCTCGTTATTATGCACATAAAAGGAATAAGATAATCAGAACGTATAATAAATGCAAGATACAGTTATTTTATAAATGTTAGAAAAAAATATTATAGATATTTCTGTTGCAATGATTTTATTTTTTGTTTATATATAAAGTATATAGGAAACTCGACTATATAAATATAGATTTTTCTTAAAAAAGTGAAGGTAGCTTTTAAATCTAGAAAATAATTATAACAAAGTTGTATTTGAACATGTCCCCTCGAAATAGAACAATTTTGATTTGAAGCATTTTTGTTAATAAGTACTAAGTTATTTGAGAAATCGATTGAAAATTGTTATTCATATGTGGGATTATTTCGAATTGTCTAGATTGTAGATAATTAGTGCGCGATATAGTTGACACACACACACACACACGCACGCACACGCACGCACGCACGCACGCACGCACGCACGCACGCACGCACGCACGCACACACACACGCACACACACATGCGTCTCTTTATACTTTCCTCTCTGCTTTGTGCATGCTACTTATATCGCATATGTTTCGTTTGAGAATCGAGATGGGAAATTTGCGACACAATATAATCTGCTTAAGAGGCCGCGTCGGAATTTACATTGGAGCACACTCGATTTTCATCGGTTTTTGCAAAAGCCGGATCGCAATCGTAAAGACGATCGACGAAGAAGGTTTACGGTAGTTAAATGATGTTATTCTAACCGCGTCGGAATGTCTCATTGTCCGTCTATTTGTCAACCTGAAAAATGTGGGCTTCGGTCCGGATTTCACTGATCCTACCAAACGACAATGACCGGGCAAGGAAACGCGGCTAGAAACTGACAGATAAATATCGGCACAATGATAATCTCAACGTTTAGAGGCACAGCGCGCCGACAGGTGGGCTTTTGTTCGCGCTTAAACTCGCTGACAAGTTTTTGGTGGTTTTCTACACGAGCTCCCTTTCGCTCGTGATCCCGGGAAGATAAACGGGTCTGACGTTGAGAGGCGGAAAATTGTTCACATATCGAAGCGATCCAAAATACGCGAGCTAAACGACGCGTAAGAAGAGTCTCGACGGGACTTGACAAAATCAACCGTAAGATTTTTTGTCATTAACTACGCAACAAGAATAATGTCACTGTCTTCTTGTGAATATCTCCGTATAATTTTAATAAGATTGCTAAATGCAATAGCAAGGATTTTCGGTCCATCTTATCGCCTTAACGAACAAATGTGGCATAAGCCGTCTTTTAGAAATTGGCTCGAGGCTATTCTTGCGTAAGAATTTACAAGAAAGCAGTAGGTAGTCTGTACAACGTCTTTCTACGGAATGGACGGACGGAGACATTCTGTTCGAGAATACTTCTTGTAAATTAGAAAATATAATGAATTTTGGCTGGCGGTTGGTGATGAAGACTAATATCTCAATTTATTGCGAATGTAAATTTGGAGGTAAGGTTCTCTGTGTGAAAAAAATTAATAGCTAGGTAGACAATCTAAATCTATCCGACATCGTTATCGCGATTCTTGATGTATTCAATCATTTCGGAGATGTGCTTCTTTCGGGATTCAAAGACTCTTGATTTATGCGACTTGAACAGGCTATCTTTTTATACTCTTAGTTTTACAACACTTTTTGTTCATTCTAACATATAAAACAAATATGGTGATTTGAAAACTTTAATTGTTAACGCGGAATCTGAATTGAGATCATTCTTACATGTTGTTTATATAAATACTATATTTATTTATATGTAGAAGTTTTATAATCTTAATATCAAAGCTATTGAAACTTTTCTTATAATACGAAAATATTTATATCGTAAACCTTTTTCTTTAAGCGTTCTCACGCCTCATCATTGTTATTTATATATACCATGGAATCGAGAGAGGCCTTTTTCGTCATAGGCTAATCCGATTTAGCTAGTTTCCATGGCGTACCTGTTTTATATTGACAAAATTCATTTGAGGATTATCGACTGATCCTCGTTTTGTAAATACTTGATCCGAAAAGGAGACCACTAGATTTCTTTCCTCATTATACGATTTATCTCGGAAGTATTCATAATATTAGTTTACGTTCTCCAATTTTGACTAAAACATATTTTTGCATATATATATATATATATATATATATATATATATACATAAGTATATAATGAATTAACAGTAAACAAAATTTATTCCGCTATATTAAATTTAAGAAAAGAAAATTTTTGCAATGATAATCAAGTTGCTTTATGCAGTCATCTTTACCAACATAGAAAATACTATAATAAGATAATTATTGAATAATTGAATGAATTATTGAATCACTGAAAGCATAATTTAAATATTTTAAGACAATTGAATAATTCTACAATACTTAATAACTTTATAGTCACATTGTTATTTTTATATATAACATTGATTACATTCTCAAAAGTTACTATCATTTTTTCGTAATAATTCGAAATATAGGTATTATAAATTTAGTATAAGTTTTTTCTTAATCTTTTAAAATTTCAAATTTAAATATTTTGAAGATTCACGTGTTGTCAGCCGCAGAAATCTTTGCTTCATTTTACCGCGGGATGTAATATACTATAATAGGATTATACCTGCAGGTGGCTGAAGGCAGTAGCAATTATTCAGAAGCAAGGAATCGCAAGTATTCTCGGTACGCTGCTATAATTTATGGTTGGCGTTGCCAAATGGCGGCAACTAGGATTTCCTCGCATGTACCGCATATTGCATTGTATAGCTTATGTACATTTATTCTGCACGATCACATAATAATTTCATTTATCATTAATATAGACATGAAAATTAAAATATCTAAAAGTAACGTTTAAAAAAATTTTATGGTAATAATTACGTTGTTAAAGTCAAGACAAGCAGGACTCAGCATGCAAAAATTATTGTAATATTTGAATTTCTGAGGTGTTATATAGCAATATCAATATATAATTTCAGGCTAAAAATTTGCTGCTGCAACCAAAAACTGATTGCTGTAGCCATATAAAAATGCTATGCCATTTTACTATCTAAATTATTGCAGCAACTAATATTTTCTTTCAATATACTTATATGGATATATAAAAATCATTTATTAAAATCATTTATTAAATTATCAAAATCATTTTTTAAAAGAAGCTGTATTCAAATATTGTACTACTGTGTGACGAAATATTATACTATAAGAGACAGATTAAAGAATAAATAATTCGGTAATAATAATGAAGTAAATATCTATAAATATTCATTTAATGTCACTAACTTTTTATCATTATTGGTTATCTTTAATCACTACTTACATTATAAAGTTTTCGATTGTTTTATTTTTGGTTTCCTTTGTTGGGCCATTTCCACAGCGTGTTTGCACGGTTTGTCGCAATCTCTTGATTTTTAACGACCCGTACGGTCGATTTCCCAGCGGGCGGCTTGTTCAACACGCGATAAGATCGAATTATCCCGCGGTGCACCCACTGCCCCGTTTCGCCCGTTAAGTGCATGGCCATTTGAACTTTAGCTCGTACTTTGGGTGTGCATACACGAAGGCGGAATTCCTGAGGAGCGAAAGAGAAACACGGCCAATGGGAGGAGGATTCGTGCCGAAGCTGCGATTAGCAATTAGTCCGGACGGAGGTGGTCACTCCATGTTTGCACAGCGCGGAACCGTTAATTAGCAAGAGAGAGAGAGAGAGAGAAAGGTACGGTTAACGCAGAAATGGATTGGAGCTAGAGTGATAGAGGTAGAGGACGCTCTGTCGGCGCTTAGGTGGCCTTTGCCAGAGTTTCGGCAAGTCGTTGATTCCCGTACGATCGCGGTGGTCCTTCTTCTCTTTCTGTTCCTTTTCTTCCTTTTTTCTTCTCGTGTCTTCTCCAACCCCCTACTCTGTGAGGTAATTTTTTCCTCACTCTCCGCGCGTCACCGCCACCGGCTCGCCGCCCTTTTGCTCTTCCCGGATATCAATTATGTCCCCGTGGGCCGCACGTTGCGACGGTGGACCCACCGGTGTGTGTCTCTCACCTCCATGAAGGGGGCCCCGGTGCTCGCCTCGTTATCCCTCGCCGTGGGCGTCGAAATCCCTGTGTAAGGTCTCTCAGGAGCTACAAAGTGCAATTTAAGAAAATCCTCTCCTCTCTCGTCTCTACGGTCGATCTCGTTACACCCTCCCGTCTTCGTTTCTACTTCGCGTTCCCTCATTCTAGCGATAAATCCCGTAACAGTCGGTATCCTTCAACGCCTCTGATAACTTTCTTTTTTGAGTCGCTCAGCTGTTAATGTAACGAGTAAATTGAAATCTTTGTAACGTGAATTTAAGAATATTGCGTTTTATATAAAATACTGTGCAGAATATTCACCAAATTTAATAATGTTAATTCTTTATTTGTTGCATAAAACAGTATATGAAATTGTGGCTTCAACGAATTAAATTATTAAACAGGTAAGAATGCCAATAAAAAAAAAGAATCGACACTTTCGTTCATAAAATATACCACTTGCAATATTCTTTCGCGTTACCTTATGATCTACGTAACATGAGAACATACTCATGATATTTTTCGATAGTAGTAGTGAAAGGCAGGACTGTCCTTTCGCTCGTCTCTTTGTTCCGTTTCTCCGCTATCGTGCAAAAGGACGAAGTATTCCGCGCGAGGCGGACCGACCTACGACCCCATTTATACACGGGGACCCCAGACGGGACGCGTGATTCATAATATTAGATTTGAGTCGAGACCGAATAATGTAAACGCCACGTAGCAGGGCCTTATATACATGAGTGTCCTGTTGGAATAAGCGCAAGGGGCGTCACGTTGGCGGCGAATGCAACAACGTTGTGGACGACGCCAACGAAGACGACGACGACGCCATCAGGAACCCCGCAGCCACCCACACCCACGTCGGCCCCTTAAATCTCCATTCTCAGGCGCGCCTCGATCCCTTTGAGCCTCCTCTGTGCCCTCTGACAACGACCCCGGGATCCTTCGTTCTGCACACATGTAAATACGTTCTATCCGAAGGTAATTTAAGCGACGACTATCTTTCGTTATTCTTACATCTGTGTACATTCTAAATGTATATAAAGACGTTGCATTATTAAACCTTTGAGAAGTACATTTTTTTATTAAAAACGTAATCAGCTTTGAATTTCTTTTTCTCTGGGCTGTTCGCAAAGTTATCCATCCCAATTATATACTCCCATTTTCAGTAAGTTTCATCATTAGATTATCGCGTTTTAAATTTTGGATCAAAAAATATCCGGCAAACACAAACTAACATTCCTACCTAAATGTTATAATTTTTCACTTAATAAATGTAATATAACACATTGTGCACACAGAAAAAAAAGACTCTTAAATCAACCATAATATACTCATATATATGCAAAAATATTGTAATCTTACTTTAAAAATTTTAGTCTTGAATTCGTATTGATGTAAGATTTTTAATTGAGCAAGTCTTGAATTAAGTGCAAAGTAATACTTGCGTCAAAACAAATTTAATCAAATCAAGATTGATATCTTTGAAGCTTATATATGAGTATATTATGGTTGATTTAAAACGTTCGTCTTTTTTCTGTGCAGTTGTAACACATTATTGAGTATAGAAAATGATGACATTGATGTATAACGTTATTGTTAGTTTGCGGGTAACAATTATATACATATCAGAAAGTCACGTATAAAATATGTTTAAATATACTTTTACGTGAATCTTCTTCGTTATTCTCACGAGAACGAGGAACGGCAAATTCATTAACTTCGTCAAGCGTGAAGTCTCACACATTGCGTATCCGGGATGATACGTCATCATTGTTACGATTATAAAGGTAGATTTGTCACTCGAAGCTAATTGTCCGGTAGAGTCTCATAGTTACTCGGCTGGCGTGTATTAGTCGTCAGAGCGGTAACGACAAGATTCCCCTATTAGAGGCAATTGGCTCACACCGTCCCGTTAAAAGCATTCTTAAATATGCGAGCTTATCTATGCGGATCGAAGACGCATGGTTAACGACTCCGTTCACATACCTTCCCTCCTCTGCCATACGAGAACGATCGACATAATGTCGTTACAGGCTTCCAGGCGACGGTATCCCGTCCTGAGAACATTCGTTTCGTACGTAGCCACGGCGTAACATCGTCAAGGATCGTGGAATTAAGAGGAAATGTATCCTCCGCCGTCATTACGTCTCCTCGTTGGCGCGTTATCGAGTCGCCTGATCTCGCTCGACTACACTTCATCCCGCTCGACCTAAAAGTCTAAACGGCTTCTAATTAGGGGGACAGTCGAAACAAAACATGCCCAATCTCGGCAACACTTGAGATAAGTTACACGGGTCCGACGAGTCGCATACCACCTCGAGTACGACGGGCGAGCTACGATTTCCCCGCTTTCTTTTTTTTGCGGTCTGGTTGATATCGATTTTGTTGTGCCACATCGTTGTCTGATATTCCGTGACGCGTTTTTTATTTAACGAAAATATTGCTCCATCTCGTTTCACGCGTTCCTTCGTCTCGCAATTTATACGTTGCCGCTCATATTTATCGTACTCAGTGAAGGAATTTCTTAGCTTTAATTACGCGCTTCGTACTTGATGGATTGAAGCCAAGTTTGCTCGTTGGGAATTATTATTCTTCGTGTACCGGAGTTCGTCGATATTTCTACGTGTGCAGAACGTATTGTGCACGGTGGATTAATTAGCGCTTCTCGGAAGAGTATTTTACGACTGACAAGCCAGACGTGCGCCGCTGGCATATTATCTGTCTCTTGATCCCGCAACACGATGCTTCTCGAGAAATAATTTGCAAGGTAGACAAGTCGCTTGCTTAATTATTATCGCATGTATCGACCACTTGCCTTGTGCGCTGCCAACCAAGATAAATCGAGGGTATTCGCCGCTTCGAGATCTTTTTATTTTTTTTAGAGACTCATCGTTTATACGATAGCAAGAATGTAGATAAAAGGACTTATTTGCAATCCAAATATCCAAATATTCCATTTGGAGCAGATTGTTAAATTGTGAAACAATTAGTCTACAGTATCAAACGTTGCATTCAATAAATAAAAATTAAAATATATCATTATTAGAATTTATAATTAATAAACTAATCATATAAAAGGTCTACGTATTTCTAAAATTTTATTAATGTAAATAAATGATGTAAATAATCAAAGGCCTAATCAATTTATTTCTTGACTGGGAATTAATTTTTACAGTATACGTTTTATAGCATACGTTATAATTTCAGGAAATAATTTCTCCCAATAATATCAAAGCTTCTAGTTATTCTAGCTATTATAGTTGCTGTTAATAAAGAATTATATTGATTGTAATTAATCACATGGTATGATATTGAGTTTGAAAATCAATCGCAAATTTTTTACCTCGAAAGATGAATACTTGACATTCTAGGGCGTGCTGCCACCTGTTGGGTGGTTGTAGATATTGAGGATTGCACGGTGTCGCCAACTGACGAAGGATAGGAAAGATCACTTGAGATGTAGGTTCCCTTTTTTCACAGCTTTTCGTTCAACCCCGATCTTATGGACTTCACCTCCTCGTACAGAATGCCACAGGTGCTCCACTGCTATAACCAGTAAACTTTTTCGTATTCCGGATTACTCACGAGTTCGTCTCGCTTTTTGCTTACACTGCTGGAAAAGTAAATAAATTTAAAGTTCTCGAATTTATTCAAATCTCGCGTTTCTTTCATACGTAAAAATCAATAATTAAACTATTACTGTAACTCTGTGTTATATTATTTATAAGTTATATAATTATATTTAAACGATTTGTTAACATTCTGAAATAATTCAATTATGCATTGCACTTTTAGAAGAATTACAATCAGTCGCGTAATATTTTCTGTCGCACCTGTTGCATTTTATCGAACATCGTCCTTCAATTACGATAATCGTCCATCACAGCAAGACGGGTCAGCATAAAAATCATTTAATTCTTTATCCGAAATAGTCTATTCTCTCAATATTAATTATTATCTTTAAGATGTGTGTGGACAAACTGTTGACGTTCCACGATTAATGGACGATAAATACACTGCGCGGTAGATTTTCAGCAATGACTTAACAATGCGTAGCTGGATATTTCATCATCCCTTACATTCACGCGCCGGCGTTTCTGTCCGAAGGCTTCGGTGATCAATTATTTTGTTCGGTCGGTCGATAATAGCAGGTCGTAATATGGTCCATCGGCAGAACTGAACGTAGCCATCTGTTGTCGGCACAGTCTGTGACAAAACAAACAGCTTGCCAATTACTGAACCGAGCTGATTTCGGTGCCGCTCGACATAATTTGGAGGCCGCCGTGGAGGACAAAGGCGGCTCGTTTCCGCCACGCCCACCATCGTTAAGCTCCACAACGAGTAGCTACCACGATCTACCACTACTACTATCACCTACCGTAGTCGCACCTTCGTTGCACCCTTCTCACTTGGTATCTCTATTTATGTTGCACAAGCCGCAGCTTCTCCCACGCCGGCTGTCCTTTTGTACCGCTGGACAACGACAGAGGCTGCACCATCCAAAATAATGTCCGGGTAGTTTCGATAGCAGGAACAAAATATGACGTTCGTTTACGGTTAAACTTACAAGTTATCTTGATGTATCTAAAAAATTTAATTTTTTTTACTAACATTTAATTGAAAATTTTGAATAAATATGATATAATCGATATTTAAAATTGACTTATTAAATTCATCGATTATAATTGGTATCTATTAATTATTATTAGGTGTTGGAATTAATTCGTAGCGTTTTTAATGAAAGTACTTTTAAAACATAAATACTTTGTAAAACGCTACGAATTAATTCCAACACCTAATATAATATCCCTTAAACTGTAAAATTATATCTTAATCGTTAAATTGTTTTTTTTTACGTATATTTTTATTTCTTTCATGAATAATCGATTCTGATTTTAATATATATAGATTTAAAATTTAGATTTTTAAATTTATAAAAGTTTTAATGTTTATTATTTATATAATTTTTTGTCGAGAATCATTTCTCACTTTTATATTTAAAATTTAATCCTTATTCGTAATATTATATCGTTATGTTCAGAAACATATATGAGATGCATGTGGCAGAGAACAATTAAAAAATTCATGTTATTGTCGAAAAGAAAAATGTACTGCCTTCCTATCCTTTTCGTATTTTTCTATAAATCACACAATCATTATGCCCGCTCACGTAGTTTTGTACAACCCAAGTTTTATTCTTGTCGTCACGATTCTAGAATTCTCTTCCTTTCATAGAAATCTTTTAACCTCACTAAAATCCATCACGTTAAACTATTATATTAATCGAATATACATATTTTGCTACAAGTAATTATTTATTTATTTATTCTGTCAGTACCCAATCATGCCTAGCGGCAAAATCTATTATTTTCCTTTTCGTTTAATATTATAAATATACTCCGTCTGTTTATTTTTCGAAAACAATAAATATTTCTGTTCATTTTCGACGTTCGAAGAAATTTTGTTTTATGGATTTAAGAGAAACTTAATTTTGATGCGGCAAAACTTTCTAATCCTTTTTACCTTTCGGTGCTAAGGTGCAAATTTTGGTAAAACGCATTCCTCGCGAAACGATTGCACGTTAAATAAGCAAGATTTAGAGCCCATGACAAAGGGATAGCAGAAGCAACGACAGCCACCCGTCGCTCTTCGGATGCCGACGATCATTGTCGGCTGTTAAAATAGCCGTGTAACGTTTTGCCTTATGGCTACAGAATCAGTTTAACTTATTCCGAATCACGAATCTGCCATTGTGGCTCCACAGGCGAGTCGGACTAACCAGCGGCACGATTGCATTTTTTGCGGGGGTTTATATTGTAAATTTATGTTTTTAACGATGTATATCCCGAATGGACATCGCGGGCGGTAGAATCGCAGGTATTGAAAGCGCTATATATACGTGCTCGAAAGGTGCCGATCTTCTCGCTCGATTGGGATCGTCTTGTCTCGATCGGGATCGTTTGCGGATCCTTGCAAGTCTGTGGATAAAGCGGCGAGGAGCGTGTACAAGGCAAGGGAACAGCGGTACACCCAGGTACACCTGAGTGACGGATCGGGAGTGACGGAACATGCGGGACGACCGCGTAAACCGTAGATGACGATCGGGAGAGGGCAGGCAGCGGTTATGTGTAAGCAGACGGGTGGGTGGTTCGGGTCGATCCGAGGAAGGGCGACGAGGAAGTCGTGAGAATTGCCAGAATGCCGTGCGTGCCCGTCGCACACTCCTGAGGATTACTCTGGATACAAGCGCTGCGGGGAATCCGCAATCCATATAACCCCGCTTGCCGCTCCGTATTGGTGGTGCATCCAGAAGCGCGACCATGTACCTGCTGATGCTCATCAGGACTTGCGTGCCCTTCGCTCGTTTATATTTCACTCAGAGACATCGTGCCGGTCTTAACTGGATTCTTTACGACCTGCACCGGAATGTTTTCTCTCTCGCGACGTAGCTAATTTATACTTCGACCGGCAACATCTTATCAATTATCGATTGCAACCGTGCGAGACGCGTGACCGGAACATTTGTCTAGTTATTCTTTCTTGTTGTATTCAGTGTTATTTTATTATTTATATGGATTAAAATTGACGATCGTCTAAACTATTCAATTAAACATATATCATATAGTAGGTATTATAATTATAATAATTAATTCTCTGCTGATGGATTTTCAAAATGTATTCAGATCAGAAAGAGATGGGATCGGATCTGGATTTGGTCTTTTTCATGTGTAATTCTTTTGTTTATATTGCTGAAAAATGCAATAAAGTTATTAACTGACTTCAAAATAATTGCAGTAAATTCTTTACCTGAAGAAAAACCGTAGGTCACCCCTGTTTTGCCGTTAGAGGGGGGAAGGGGGCTAATAATTAATTATCACAATAATTAATTTAATGCTTAAATAAATGTAAGAAAAAATAAAATCAGATTTTTTGATACATTATCATCTTTTCTTTCGAGAATTAAGTGCTTTTATGCTCACCATTCGAGGTACTTACAGATATAGAAGGAAGTCGATTTTGGGCAATCATTGTAAGTACCGCGCTCTAATTATCCGCAACTGCAGTTTCGTATGGACGTGTATAACTCAGTTTTACACACATATAGATCGTTTTTACTTACGCGAGTGTTACGACCGAGGAATGTTCAAGGCAGATTTTCGCATTTACAGCGAACTCACCGCGGGTTGTTTCGCGGCACAAATCGATCAGCGACCAATTATTGTTCGGACGAGTGGGCACTTACTGCCGCCTCGTTAACCTGTAATCATCAGCGAGGCGGTAAAAGTTTTCATTGCTATTAAAATCGTCCCTTCTTCTCTGATTTCCGTTAATTCAATTGTACTTTTTCTCTCATTTCATTTTACGATTAATTATATCATTTCGTTCTTTTCATGCTTAAATTTTTTTTAGTAATTTATTAATAATTTTTAAAAAACAATTCGTAGAATTACTAAATTTTATAAATTTAATTGTGCATCCACATTTTGAACAAATAAATGGTCTTGAAAATTAATCTTAAAATAATTTAACGATTATTTCCTTTCTCTCATGAATTTCTTTTATATTTTATAAAAAGTATTTCCCGCAGATAGCGTTAAGAATTGTCTGAAATCGACATATGTGTCGATCACCAGGCAAATGTGGTGTCTTCCTGTTTTGTCGTGCCTTTGGCAGCCACAGAACCATTTGTGTCCCCGCGGATAAAGTCGCGCGTGCACACGAAGTGGCCGGAAAATAGCACGAGAGGTGGGTTACAAACCGCTCTCCCTTATTCACCCTCTACCTTTTCTTACCTCCCGCTCCCATTCTCTCCAAGGAAATTGGCAGCTAGGTCGAAACCCTTTTGTCGTCGACGCGCTGCATGCACGACGGAGTAAACAGCTGCGAATGCTATTTCAATAACGGCTAAGCGTCCAGATAGAATTTTGGCGCTAGTCTGCATTCGAGCACACGTCCTTTGATCAGATGGCCGGTATCCTCGAAAATGTAGCCGCCGAGATAAACTACCCTCTTTCCTCGCCATCTATTTTCACAAAATATTTTCTATCCGTTTCACAACAGTCGTATTATTTAGCTCGCGTTAACCAGAAGATTAAAGTATCGGATTATACCATTATAAAAGAATCTAACCAATTGTCTGAATTTTTTTACATTTTTAGCGCACGAAAAAATAAATTTTTAAAATTTGAAGCAATGTTCGAACGAAGGCTTAAAGTAATCCTTAAATAATAGTCAATTCCGTGCTGTTTCAATCGCACCATGTACATCTCGAATATCCGCGTGACATATTGCGAGCTCAAAAAAAAAATGTCAAATTTAAAGCGTTAATGCTTTTCCGAATTTAATGAATATATCGGCCATGCTAGCATGGGTCTTTTTTCATGCGACCGTCGTTTATTACAGGCGGCTTTATATCGGCCGCTTTCATGCGCGTCTGAACGCGATGCCGCGCGTACGTATCACGCGGATCGGGAAACCGACGAAAAACGATGAAAGCCTATGAAAGCGAGCATTGTGGGTGGTTTCATGAGGGGTTCGGGATGGGTGAGAGCATGCGGGCGACGTGGCAAGGGAACGGGAATCCCATCTGTCGGCATTTTTGCGCCGACATTGTGCGCCTGTTTATATCGACACTGTACGAGATAGAGAGAAAGGGACAGATAAAGGAAAAGAGGAGAGAGAGAGAGAGAGAGAGAGAGAGAGAGAGTGAAAAGGAGAGAGAAAGAGAACGTCTCGCTTTATTGCCGTATTGGCATATTGCCGCGGATCCGCCAACGTGTTCTTTTTTTTTTCATCTTTTTTATCTTCGCTGCACGCCACGAGAACGGCTGTACAACTTCACGGTGTGTATCGGACACACACCGTCGACGGCTGGCAGCGTCTCCTCTCTGCACGCCGCGAATTTCGCCCGTTTTCATGCGACGACCAGTCACGACACTGCCTATGCCATCGTAAATTTCAAACTGACGGACGATAGCCGAAGCTATCGGAATATCGACGCGAAGTTACTCCTTTTTCTCGTGGTCCCGCCGCGTGCGTCCGTCGATTCGATGTCGTCGAGAATCATACCCTGTATCGGACGTTTCCTTTGTCGTTCTTTTGCTTTCGTTCACGGAAAATGTGAGATAAGCTCCTTTGCTAACGTGAAATAATTCTATATAATTCAATAATAGTGCATACAACGAATAAATGTGAAAAATAGGTTTTAATGTCATTACTGCATGATAGGGGTTTAATACTGCTTTTACTTTCATAATATATTTGTCATAATATATTTGATATCTTTCTAAATTTTTCAGAGTGAAAAGCTTGAACCAGTCTTGAAAAAAAGAATGAAAATTTGAACACTCTTGAACAATGAAATGGCAGATTTTCACTCTTGGAATAAGATTTTACTCTTTTGGAGTGAGATTCACTCCAAAGGAATAAAATCTTACCCCCTTTTTTAGAGTGAGATTTCACTCCAAAAGATTTAAAGAGATTACATACAAATATATTATTTTCTATGTATAATATACATATAATATGAAGACATTTTTATGAATACTTAAAAGTGTTTGAGCTCTTTATTGATAAAATATTAA